TCAAAGAGTTATCTTGGGTCTCTGAAAATCCTATTTTTGATGAAAATTAGTTAAGTAACTAACCAACTGAATTTGTTTCTTATTGCTCATTTGAGTCGTAACCTTGCCTATTTCAAGTATGTTTTTAAAACTTTGTAGGTTGGCATATGTTAAAAATGACTAGGTCATTAGCCATGGAATTAGGCAGCATTATTATCCACTTGGGAGAATTGAGTTAGGCTGTTTTAGAATTTGATTATATGGCAATATTTTTGCTGTAAAACTTCAGATTTACCAGGAAATCTTAGATTTTTAAGTTGCTTTTGTATAAGTCCCATCATCTTTCTCCGTTCAGAAATTGAGGTTTTACCACTTGAGAGTTATTAATCTCTACATTATCTAATCAACATGGTGGTAAGAGTTAAAAAAATCAAGTAGAAATCACTAACACAGGATTTGTACCAAACACAGTTATTGAGATCATTCAAAATCATAAAATGAGTAACATGTTGTTTCCTAGCCCAATCTCATTAATTTTCTTATAGCTTTGGTTGTTAACGGTCTTTCTTTTGTAAGTAGTATATCAATTCATTGATGGATTATGATTGAGAAAATATAAGATCGGTTTTTTGAGTTTTTAAATTTAGTTAAAGAGAAGAATGGATGACAACAATGTTTGCATCATGGACGTAAAATACTACTATCTATAAATTAAGTGAAAGAAAATATGACAACAGCATGCAAATGGAGTATTCATTACAAGGGATTGTTGAGGTAAAACTCAGAAGTGAGAAAAAGTTAATTGCACTGATATGATCTGAAAAATACAGTATTCTATAATAGACCTGGGCACTCTTGAAATAATTTATTTTTGAAATAATTCACATGGTTATTCCAGGAATGAATTATTTCGGGAGTAATGGTTATTTCTGAAATAATATTTCAAACTGTCAATGAAATAATCTCGATGGAATAACTGCTGAATTTATTTCTGAAATAATTATTTCACTATTCTGACATTCTTTGGAATAAAGTAAATTATTTCGAAATGAGTTATTTCTGAAATAAATTATTTCATAACTATTATTTCAGAATTATTTGTTTCATTAATAAATTATTGCAAAAATCAAGAAATGAATATTTCAGAAATAACATTGTTCTGGAATAACAAAAAAAATTTACCAATATGCACCATGTTTTCGGGATATCTTTTTATTAAAATAGTGTCAAATTTGAGATTGCGCGCCATCATCCACCCTCCCCCTAATTGACTTTTAGTAACTTTCGGATTTAATCGATATCAGGGTCGACTATTATGTTTTCGGGTAGCTTATTATGAAAATACGTGTCGAATTTGAGATTGCGCCCAACCCACCCTCCCACAATCGACTTATTGTAACTTTTCGGATTTAATCGATATCAGGGTGGACTATAATGTTTTCGGGGTAGCTTATTATGAAAATGCGGTCGAATTTGAGATTGCGAACCACCATCCTCCCCCTCCCCCAATTGACTTTTAGTAACCTTTCGGATTTAATCGATATCAGGGTCGACTATTAAGTTTTCGGGGTAGCTTATTATGAAAATAGTGTCAAATTTAAGATTGCGCCCCATCATCCCTCCTCCCCCTAATTTACTTTTAGTAACCTTTCAGATTTAATCTATATCAGGGTCGCCTATTATGTTTTTGGGATAGCTTTTTATGATAATTCGTTCGAATTTGAGATTGCGCCCCTCCCTCCCCCTTCCCAATCGAATTTTAGCAACCTTTCTGGTTTAATCGATATCAGGGTCGACTATTATGTTTTTGGGGTAGCTTATTATGAAAATACAGTCGAATTTGAGATTGCACCTCCCTCCCTCGACTTCTTTCCTTTATTATCCAAAAACATAATAGTGGACCCTGATATAGATCAAATCCGAAAAGTTACAAAAAGTCGATGCTGAAGGGTGGGGGGGGGCACAATCTCAAATTTGACATTATTTTTATAATTAGCGACCCCGAAAACATAGTAGTCGACCCTGATATCGATTATATTTGAAAAGTTACAAAAAGTCGATGCGGGCTGGGAAGGGACGTAGCGCAATCTAAAATTCGACCGCATTTTCATAAGAAGCGCTCCCGAAACATAAGAGCCAACCCTGATATCGATCAAATCCGAAAAGTTACAAAAAGTCGATGCTGGAGGCTGGGGGGGTGGCACAATCCCAAATTTGACATTATTTTTATAATTAGCGGCCCCGAAAACATAATAGTCGACTCTGATATCGATAACATCTGAAAAGTTACAAAAGTCGATGCGGGCTGGGAGGGGTAGCGCAATATCAAATTCGACAGTATTTTCATAAAAAGCGCTCCCGAAAACATAATAGTCGACCCTGATATCGATCAAATCCGAAAACATACAAAAAGTCGATGCTGGAGGCTGGGGGGGCATAATTTCAAATTTGACATTATTTTTATAATAAGCACCCCCGAAAACATAACAGTCAACCTGGATATTGATTATATCTGAAAAGTCAATCAGAATGATTATTTCACATTATTCCTGAAATTATTCTTTCTGAAATAATCATTTCAGAAATAGTCATATCATTTATTCCAGTACTCTATGTGATATAGAATAGTGGAGTGAGTACTGAACCTTGAGGTACTCCAGGTCTATCTCAGCAGGAGTACCTCAAGGTTCAGTACTCGCTCCACTACTCTATATCACAGCAGCCCTAACATTTTAACAGCGACATATGCAGACGACACAGCAATTTTAGCAAGACACAAAAATCCAATATACGCCTCACATACCCTACAACAGTATTTAACAAGATTACATGACTGGTTCAAGATTTGGAAAATCCGACTAAATCAAGAAAAATCACAGCACATCACATTTACGCTTCGACATGAAACATGCCCTCCAGTTTTCCTTGGTAACACACAGATTCCACAGACAGACACAGTTCACTACCTTGGTCTGACATTTGACAGAAAAATGACGTGGGGCCCACATATAATCAAGAAACGAAAAACGCTAAATCAAAGGTTAAGAATTCTGAGTTCACTTCTTTCGAAAAATTCAAAACTAAAACTTAGACAGAAATTGAACACATACAATTACTTACTAAAACCTATTTGGACTTACGCATCACAGATATTTGGAACTGCTAAAAAGACTCACTTAAACAAACTTCAAATCTTTCAAGCAAAAACATTCAGAACAATTACAAAAGCACCTTGGTACGTTAGCAACATAACCTTACATACTGACCTCCATATGCCGACTGTTAACGAACACATACGAACTCATTACAAACGATTCCATGACAACTTACAAGGACATCCTAATATACTTATAAATGACATGGCCACTACGAATATGCCAGGTAACATCTATAGGAGACTGAAGAGGAGCTGGATGAGGGACCTCCTCGCCTAATGTAGATATCATGCCGAGTGAGTTGCCGCTGGGCACTGATCCTCCTCATGCCTTTCATGACATTATATTTTGCAATCCACCTCACATTCACTGGTTGTTATTACCATTATGACAGGTGTGAATAAAAAAAATTTATTCCAGAAATAATCATTTTGGAAATAATGGTCAGGTCATGAAATAAGTTATGGAATCAAGTTTTGGAGCGTCCGGTATTAAAAAAACTATATATTTAGCATACAGCTATAGTATGAGTTCATTATTGAAACAAAGAGTACTGACCTATGGAGTAAAGTAGGTTCAAATATTTTTTTAAGGAGAAACAAAGTTGAAATTTTTATTTTGCACCTCGAAAAACTCTTAAATAGGAATTTTCATATAAACAAAAAATAATTTTTTTTTTCAAAAATCACAACAGTTGTGATAACTTTGACATGGCTTCATTTATTCACACGAAAATTAGCATGAATTTGGGACCTTATAATATATACAAACCAGAATCCCGCTAATAAATTATGCTTGGAGATAAAAAATAATTTTGGGAACTTTTTATTTATTTATTCCTTATAAAAGCGTGAATTAAGTGATATCAAAGTTATCAATATAGTTTTGAATAGCCATAATTTAGCTTTTCAATGGTTGTAGTAACGTCAACTTAAGAAAAAAACCTGAAGATTTATGAATATTTTAGTAAACAGCATGAAAAAAAATCCTATCAAATGATGCCCAAAAATTTATAAGATAATTGTGGGCAATAAATTTATCCTATACTGGGCACAGACTTGGAAACAGATTCATTCTGAATTATTCCTTGTAGAGCCCTACCATAAAAGAAGCAATTCACTTCTTCTAATGGACAGGAGTACCATTAGGCGGGTGACAGGACTGTATACTGGTCACCGTCAATTAAATAAGCACCTTTTCAATCTGGGTGTAAGTGAAACCTCCACCTGCAGGCTAGTGGCCTGGAGGATGAAACGGCCTATCACATTATCTGCAAATGTGATAACCTGGCTAGACTGCGATACTTTCACTTTGGATGTGACCGTATCACTGACCCCAAGCACTGCGAACTGATTGATCCCGTCAGGATCAATAGGTTCGCGAAGGCATCTGGCCTGTTTTAACTGAGTTTAGGACGACGCACAATAGGCCTTTTTGAGGCCGCAGTGCATAACAATGTCAGAGCAAAAAAAAAAAAAATAAAATAAAAAAATAAATCCTTTTAGTCATAAATAGATTGCGTATCAGAAAGAAATTTTAATGAAGAAAATTGATTTTGAAAAAAAGCTTGTTGAAATGTTACAACAGGCTTCAACTGTTAGCAATCTAGTGATTAATTTTTATCATTGAAAATTTCAACCTTTATTGTACCAAGAATTTCTTTATTTTTTTTTTAAAGACAATTAAATTTTCAGTTTTTTTTTTTATGAATAGTTTTTGAAATATTTCTTTCCTTTGTTAAAAAAATGTTTTATAAATAAAAGAAAAATACTAATAAAAAGGATAAATTAAATAAATGATGAATTGTTTTTATTATAACTTAAATATTCCTAGTTATAAAAATTATATTTTTATTGTGAATTTTAGGAATATAAATACGATTAGATCTATTGCTCGAGGACATGGAGATCCTATAGACCGATACAAAGTAATGGCAAGGTGTGCTACTGAAGGAAGTTTTGCTGTAGATCAGTCAGGCTTCTTTGGAAAATTGAGAATTTATAAAGAATTATTAAACTTTGAATTATCTTTATGGTAATAATCAGTTACTGTTAATTATGTAATAGTGAGTTGTTTTTTTTAAAGTTAAATATAAATATTGAGTTTATTTGTTTCAGGTGGAATGGAATCAAACATAAATTGTTTACATTTTTATTTCGCGCTGTTCAGTTTGTGAATAGATTGAAGTTTTCTTCTTCATCAAAAGAAATTATTATTTAATATTTACTTTTATTGTAAATTATTTTAAATTATTAAAATGTTTTTATTGTTGTTTGGTGTAATAATACATTTTATATTAGTTAACAAAGCTGTTATTATTTTTATTTTATTTTATTAACATTTACTATCAAATTATGGCTCTAGCCTGAGCCTGGACACATGACACTATGAAACTCTCAGTCCAGAATTTCGGACAGTTGTTTCTTTTTTTAATTTAATCTTGCCAAATCTGCTCTAGGTATTTCTGATTTTTGAAAAACATGTATATTCAATATTTTTCTTTTCTCTAAAATTCCGTTGGTAACTGACTTTCCTAACTGCTCAGTGTGTCTATTGAATTTCAAGTTTTTGTAGGTAGTACTGCTACTGGTAGGGAGAACTAGTGTAGGCCTTATGGTCCATTTATTCCTACCTCTAATGGCTACCTTGAGGTTGCCACCTAGTTCTTATGCCTTACACCAGAGTGAGAATGTCAAGATTCATTTCCTGGGGTCGTCAAGAAATAAGTACCAAGCGACCTATAGGGGAACCGAAATCACAATTTCAGAACTGCACATTCTGAGACACACACCCCAACTTGCTCGGCCATCAATGTCCTCTAAATTTGTGTAGTTAATATTTGAAATGTGAATTATGATCACTATTAGATAAATTTGTCCAATCTTACAGATGGAACATAGACCATTCAGTCAACATGAAGCCAACACTTGATGTTATGACAGCTGAAATAAATTGTCCTTATTTTGGGCCAAATCGTAGATAAGTCAAAGCCCCAAATGTTGCTTATTAAAAATTATTGTATACTTTTTTAATTGTTCAAACAAAAAACAATTGGGTTTACTTTATTATTAAAGAAGGAAAATATTTATTTCATATTTAAAAACCTTCCAAGAAGTGAATGTGGTAGGGATTTCAGTTGACCAACAGTCTCCTCCAAAAAAAAAGGTATGTAACATAACTAACATCAAAATAATTGGTAGCAGATGTGAACCCATCTCAATTTCAGATAGTCCCATGCAGGCATAATTGTGGGCAAGAGCCATGCTTTGATTGCACTAACTTCATTTATTTATTTATTTTTAAACAGTATAAGTATCTATTATTCAGCATACTTTATTTTATACAAATATTTTAATCGATAATGTAAATATATTTTTAAGTTGATCTACTAATTACTACAGAATAATAGTACCTTTAAATAGGTCAAAATAAACAAATGTTAACAGTAAATAATAAAAATAAATCAAAATTATTTGAAAATAGAAGCTGTGATTTATTAGTAAATTAAAAATTGTTAGTACCACTAAATACTCAAAATTATTTTGTCATCAGGTCCTTTTTTAATTAATTGGGCACTCCAGATGCCAAGGCCTAAGGGGTACCAAATCAGTGGTATAATACTAGTATAGAGAACCACACAAGACTTCCATGAAAACTATGAAGGTTCTGTAAACTGGATACCGGCAGCACATATTTTTTGATAAAACCAAGCGATGGGTGATCATATTTTAACCAAAATCTATTGTTTTTATCTCCATACTATTAAAAACAATATTATTAATTTTTACGGAAGTTATACGCATTTTTTTTATTAATAATATCAATATTTACTTGAAAGCTTCCTGAATTACCTGCAAAATAAAAAAAAAAATTCATCGAATTATCTCTAAAATGAAAGAATTTGTAGTGGCCGTAGGAGTTAAGTGGATTCAAATATTTTTTAAAGGAGAAACAAAGTTGAGATTTTTATTTCACACCTTGATAAACCCTCTAATACCAATTTTCACTCAAATCGAAAAATTCCATAACAGAATCCAAAAGATGTCAAGCGGTACAAGAACCAGTAAGTAGCTTATACATTTATTCCTCAAAAAAATTGACTTATTAGCTAAAGGTATATTGTTTAAAATAAATAACATACAATTTATTTACTTTATTTTATATTAAATATTTATAAAAAATGTTTCTTGAAACTCTATTTTTTTAAATATTCTTAACAGATTATGCTCTCATTGATTTTATAACATATTCATTACAATAATCCAAAATTTAATTGTGAAAACATATGATTATATAAAATTCTATTAACACTTAGAATTAATAGTTTGTTTTGTTGTATTTAACACTAGTTGAAAGCAGAGATACATCCTCCTGGCTCATCTCAAGTACGACCTCTTCATAATACTCTCTAAAAGACAGAAACACTGAACAATATTCAACATAGAATATGCATGCATTTCTGTTGGGAAGACTTTTTCTAGACCCTTAAGAAAGGTTAGCTCTAAAATGACTATATTCTAATGTGTTACAAAGACGATTTTCGAAATATATAAAAAAGAAAGTGCACTTTAATATGTCATTAGTGTTCCATTAGTTACTATAATTTTGGCTTCCTTTTATAAAGGTTATATCTTTGTAAAAAAAAGTTACATTAAAGCATTAGTAAAAATTCACATTAAATAACAGCCATAATTTTATCTTATAATACAATAAAAGAACTTATTATATAAATATTTTTATTTACAATAACTGACAGAAGCATATTGCTTTGTAATATATCCTAAACTAATGACTAATAAACAAGATACAAAAGTAAAGAAAACCCAACTTAAAGAACTTACATATCTTGGTTTAAGAAAATATTATATCTACTACAAATGATAAGATATTTAGAAAAATCATATTTACAATTTATTTATTTTTTAACATACAATACTTCAACTAAACTTCATCTTCATTTATAAGCATATTTGGAATCCCTGCATTTATAGGAAATTTTCGTCCAGTTTCGGGACAAATAAGGTCACCATCTATCACTTCAACCTGCACATAGTTAACAGACTTAAGTTTAATACATATTTTAAATTATAAATTAAAAAAAAAAATTGAACAAGAAGTTTAAGAAGGGAAGGAAAGAAAATATCACACATAGCTTCCTTTCCCTTCTTGGTTTTTGACCAGGATAACTAGCAATAAAAGTCACAATTTGGTGTAAAAAAATAATAAAGCGATATAGTCACCAAATCAACAATAAAAGGTATAGCTTCTATAATAACAAATTAAGAGTGTTCATAAGATGACAGTGAGGGATAAGAACAGTACTTAGTCTTCACCATGACTGCCGCATCCAATCACCATTAGTTATATCATTCACTTTATAATTCAGGATGACACAGTGCCTGATATGCAGCAACACAGGTGGTAGAGACAAACAATAAAGAATGGTTTAGGGAATCACTTAAGAGTAATATTATAATATTATAGAAACAGTAATACTAATATACTATAGAAGATGCTATGAATTCCTGGAAACTACCATATTGCAGCACATAAAAATAAATTGGGTGTGCCAATCATGCATTAAACCATTTGGTAAGTTGCAGAATATGGCATCTGGCAACAAAGTAGGAAATGAATTACCTCATCTATATTCAATAAGGAAAATTGCTGAGATCAAGAGGTGAAAAGTATCTTTGTAAAACAAAGCAATTTAGCTTTTCCAAATAGTGTATGTTTGAAAATCAGGAGAATTCACTATTAACAAAGAAAACATTATACAAGACGAAATTCAAATTAGCTTACTCGAAGCTAATCATGCAGAGCACAATAGTCCAACTCTCTAGAGTTAAAAGGAACTTCACCTAAAACTGGCTAATCAAAAAATGTTAGGAAATCGGTCAAAAAAGAAAATCATAAAATAAATTCTGACTATTAATTCAATGCCGACATTTCGACCCACATTGTCGGTTTCAATCAGGGCGGAATACCTACATGAGCCAGAAAATTTGGCTCACAACTGAAACAATGTGTTCGAAATTGGCATACAGTTTTTCTTTTTTGACCGACTCCCAAACAATCTACTTTTAAATTGACATAATAGTAATATATTATTACATTCAAGGTTCAATGGCAACTATAAGATTACTCATGGTTCATGCTATTGCTCCGTAGGCCAACTAAAAGTAATCTTGTATCAACACACACCAATTAACTCATAGATCTTGGGACTCATTCTTCTTAACATTATAAAATGTTATTTAGTGACATTCTACAATAAAATATTAAAAAGGATAATAAAACAGAAAAGTAATGTCTAGATTTTCATATTCTGGGTATTTTGGAACATTGGAATTTGGGGTTGTCAGGACTTCAACTCTTGGGCTTATGGGTGTAGAGACTGTACAAGATTTTAAGAGCCATCCATTCCCTTGGCAAACTATCTTATATGTCTTATTTTCATTTGTTCTTTTTCTTCTTTTATCGATAAGAGCTATCACCCCCATTATGGAGGATCTCATTATCGAAATTTCTTTTTTATAACTTAAATTAAATATGAAATAAGAGTGGCTCATGCTTTTTACACTGTCATATCCAACAGCTAAAATTATCTAAGCTGATTCTAATAAGCTAAACTCTACATATTGAAGTTCCCTCCCCTTCTCTCATATAAACGTTATAAGACATTCAGTAATCAACCCTTAATTTTTTAGAGTTTACAAAACTATGTTCTCCCATTATTTTTTTTTCTTTTCAAATTTTTTTGGGCTTCCTTAAACCATTCATGGAAGTGCCTGAAGATGTGAACATCCTAGGATGAGATGGTGGTATGACCTTGAGGCAGACTTAGGGTAGCTTAGAAGAGCTGTTGCTGCCAATAGACCAGCTTGGTAGACTTTTTTTTTGTTCTTCCCTACCTTGCCATTTAGGCTAGACGGGATTTCACAGGGCCGGAGGGTGAGGGCAGGGAATTTAAAATCCCCTCCTGCACCAGGACGCGAACTCGTACTTATTTTTGTCTCTCAAAACTTCAAATATATGAGCAACTAGCTCTGCTGTGCACACGCTTTAGCCCATTCGGCCACCCCGCCCCCGCTTGGCAGACTATTTGTGAGGGCCTGCCCTTGGAGGGCAGTAGCACCAATAATAATAATAATAATAAACCATTCATAATTTTTTTCATTTTCTCTGACACCCCACCCCACTGTTTTCTATATATATTTTTTTTAACCCTTTCTCCTTTATTTCCCTGGTTAATAACACTGATTATCCTTCTTACTCCATTATTACAGAGGGTTTTGTACTTCATGAATTAAAATTCATTCTGTAGCCTAATTTGAAAATAGGAATAGATTTTATGAAGTTTCGATCGACACCACACTTTTATTCCATCAGTCCCTCAAAAAAAAAAAAAAAAAAATTAGAAGTATCAAATGCACAATACTACCTATAATATTACACATACAAAAGGTGAGGAGAAGAAACCTGAAAAAGTATTAATAAAAACAATAAAGCTGTTTCATTTCATGAAGAAAATTAAAAATAATTTAATTTTAAAATAATAATTTTCTGATACTGATGGATGTTTGATTCATCTTAAATAAGTGGACTTACTCCGTTAAACTGGAATGGAACATTAGAATTTCATAAAATTTGATTACATAAAAGTAAATTAAAATTATAAAATACAAATTCAGGATGCAGTCATTGTAACGTTTTTATTGGTGCCAACGTTACACCCCAAACATGGGGATCATCATCAGGGCGTGTTTCGAGCAGTGAAGATATTCAAGTACTATAACTATACACAGTACTTGAATACCTTCAGTGCTTGAAACACGTCCTGATGATGACCCACATGTTTGGGTTGAAAAGTCGGCACCAATAAAAACTTTATAACTGCGTCCTGAATATTTATCACCCATGATATGTAGAACAATCGACTAACTTCCAATTTGCAAAATATAAACTTATTACCTCCAACAAAACATGATGAACTTTCTGCAAAAAGTCTTCATTACTCTCAAAATTTTCCACAACCGTTTGGGGTAAATCAGTGGCATGCCCCAGCTAAAAATAAAATAAATAGTATATAGAAAGCAATATAACATTTTTTAAACTATAAAAAAAATTACATTGTCCATGGCATAACTTCCTCTAACCCAACTTCAGTAAAAATTAATTTTTCTTAAGAGGTAAATAAATCATGAAAATATAATTTTAATTGTGAATGCAAACTTAAAATAACTAATATAAATCTCTGTGCGCTGCATTCAAGGAACCTGACATGTATTTCCGTAAAAAACTAGGATTCAAAATCTATTATAATCACAATACTTTCTCTTATATATTTCATATATGTAATAAAGAACAGCAGCAGATACCTAATACAAACATACAGGGATGTGAACCAAGTATCGTTCAGTTGTTAAATAAATATTTATGTAACCAGATCAAGAATTCAAGATATCTACTGACCATGTAATTAATATTATATTAATAAAAAAAAATCTGGTGCAGGCAACACACAACTTTCACTCACCACTCTGCTTAGAATAGAAATTATTTTCTGGCAATGTTGGGCTATTGATAAACTTTTTGAAGTACATATGTTAACGGGATGTTACTGTCAATATGGGAATCAAACCCGTGTCATAGTGGTCTTAGTAGTTGAGTAGGGTCTGCACTTATTGATTTTAATTTATTATTAATTATTAGTGGGCAGGGTGGCCGAATGGGCTAAAGTGTGTGCACAGCACCCCCGTTGCCCGGCAACCTGACATATGAATCTAATGATATAAAAATAGTCACGAGTTCGCGTCCCGGTGCCGAGGGAGTCTTTTAAATCCCCGCTCTCACCCTCTGGCCCAGGAACATCCCGTATAGCCTAAAAGGTGAGGTAGGGAAGAACAAAAAAAAATATTATTAATTATTCAATCTCTCTATGTGGAGATAATGATACTAGTTCACAAGAGTTCCGCACGGATTACGCGTGGTTCACAATCACTTCGATCACACTTGTTCATGGAATCCCGAAAACAGCCGAATGTTGTCGTCTTTTATGACGTCAGCTATTGTTCCTCTTAATGCATTTTTGAAAGAAAAAATAATCTTTTCCCTTCGTGGAACTACCTTATTAAAAATGTATTAACAAATTGTGTATTTACTAATTAGTTAATTATTAATTTGCATTATAACTGTCATTACTGTGAAACAAAAAGAAAACATATATAAAATAATGTCTGAGTCTTTCTTCAAGGCCTGTAAAAAAAAAAAAAAGCTTTTAGAAATAAAATTTTTATTGACCCGTGCTTACATGTAGTGGCTATAAATACGCATATACTGTTGTATATTATCTATTATAAATTGTATAAAAGAGTTTTTTATCATTTGGATAATAAATAATCCGAATGGCGATTATTGTAATCATTCGTAAAATAAAAAAATCGTGTTTACTTTCAAGCAAGGAATTAACGTATTGAGGAAAGAACTGAAGAAGAATATCTGATAATTCCAAGATAATGAATAATGGAAATCATAAATAAGAAAAATATTGTGAAATAGCATTCAGAGATGTAATAATTAAATGTTTTTATCTATTAATATTCCTTTTTCACATATATATAATATATGTGCATGTTCGATTCAGGTTTCATAATGTGTAGTCTAAATTTCGAATTTAAGTCAATACTTTAAATAACGTTAATATAACTGAACATGGTTAAGGTTATAGTACTTAAATGGCGGGAAAGTTAATCGTAACAAATTCAAGAGATTGTTCTCTGTCGGATAAACCCGAAGGCATTCGGGATTCCATGAACAAGTGTGACCGAAGTGATTGTGAACCATGCGTAATCCGTGCGGAACTCTTGTGAACTAGTACCGAGATAATTAATCTACTAAATTAAAGACACAGTTTACTTTTAATTATACCATAGAATTACAAAATGAGAATGATGACCTTGACCATAATATATTTTGGCGTTTGTTAAGATTTATTTCTCGACATCCCAAGAAATAAATCTTGGCTTTCCCACTCTGGCTTACTAACTCGCCATGGAAACCTCTAAATAGTAGGAGTTGGCAAAAAAGACAAGACCCAGTTGCTAGTTCCCCACCATTAGCACAAATGGTGTAGTGTATTTATCTTAATTGAATATCATTTTCCAAAATATAACGGTTTTGGATCAACAAATTAGAACTTAAAGAAGATATTTTTGCTTTCCAATCCTAATTAACTGGGCCTTGGTGGGGGGATAATGTAAGTAGCAGCCTCCAAAAGATGGAAATAACTATCACCATGGCAGAAGATAGAGCACAGTGGGAAAGGATGGTTGGGCAGCCTAAGGATAGCTATATGCCTCTGTTGTGCCAATTGAAAAAGAAGAATCGGTATTATTCAGAATCAATGTTTAAGAAATTTGGACTGCACAACAATTTATTAAACCTATTTCAGTATAATCAGTTTGTTCCCAATATAATTTGTCACCTAGTGAAATAGGAATATAAATTTAAGTCCACATCAAATCATTACAGTAAGAGCTTCAGATCAGGTCACAGAAAACCCAAATCTTATAAAATAAAATAAACAGATATTTAATATTAACTTACTTTTTCAGCAGCACCATATAAAGTTTTATAGTCTAGTTTTGGGATTATCCTAGTGACGAATTCCGAATTAAAATCTACTTTTGATACTTTAATATCTCTAGCCTATAAAAATTTCAAACAAAATATTAATGAACAAGAGAAAAAGTGCCAAATAACAATAAATAATTAAATAAAAACATACCTCAATTCCTAAAGGATACCCTAAATTTACACCCTTTATACATTTCGACGAAAGCATATTGTGAGTTAGTAATTTCATGGTAGTAATATAATTTATTATCACAGACAAGAAGATATATAATCCGTATTTACAGTAATAATTTATCTTAACCTATACGACAAGCACGTGTTCCATCAAGTAAACTGTTTATTGATCACAATTATTCATTCGAATATATCGATACTAAACTAAATGTTTTCTCTAGAATTAATCCTTCCTTGATGGATTAACAGTGGTTTTTGGACTTTCGCAAAGTCGGTTTATGTCCAAATTACATATGTAGATTAAACTCATATCAAAATAATAAAAATTTCCTCATGGGAACATCATTTTAGCAGTCACTCGAAAGGACTTGGGTTCTCATCTTAAAAACTTTAATAAATTCATAGTATTGTTTGTTAAACACGATAAATATTGCTGGGAGCTTCTCAAAATTTTAATTAGGTATTATCAGTCTCTGTCTCAATGTCAATGAATTCCGTTTATTACGGAAAACTTTTTAGAATATGGTCATTCTTGCCAGATCATACATATAAAATTAATACTTTTTTTGTTCTTTTCCCGAATAAGTAAATGTTTCACTAACAAAATCAGCAAAAACGTACTTAGTCTACAGAGATGAAAACAAATATTTACGCACTCTGACTTTTAAAACTATTTGATATAAGAAAAATAAATATATGTCTGAATTTCATACTAATGAAAACTATATTCAAATAAAAATCTCTGGTGTGCGCAACACACAACTTTCACTTACCGATCTACTATGAATAGAAATTATTTTCTGGCAATGCTGGGCTATAATAAATTTTTTTTAAGTGCATTTTAAACGGAGCTAAAGCTTAAAGCTTACAGATAACAATTCATTAAGACCATTATAATCACAAAATGTCTATTTAATATATCGACAGCAGGCAATAAAAATTTAGTCACTTCATCTGCTTTTATAAACCACACAACTTTCTTTGCTTTTATAAACTTCAGAATGACTAACTCCAATTTCAATATTTTTAAGTGATGTCATTTTAGTGATATTTTTAGTTGAAAAAGTTATCTATCCAGAATATGAGTAAGTTGATTCCGGAGGTGGTGATTGCAATGTCAAAATATAGAACTGAAAATGAAGGTATAAATTTAGGTACTTATTTCTTATAAAAAATGTTCTTAGGAAAGATACTTTATTAAATATCTGTAGAAAAAAAGTTTTTTTAGTCTCAACAATTAAAATAGTATATTTTAAATTTATCCAAATTTTCGCCTCTTCAGAGAAAAAAACTAGAGACCATATCTTTCCTCCTAGTTGTCCGATCTTAACGATTTTTTTTTTTTTTTTTTTTAGGAAATTCCATAAACTTTTAAAAAACCAAATATTCTCAAAAAAGTTTATACTTTTTGAGTTATTCGGAATTTTTAAAATAAACCATATTCAAGGTACTTTAGAGGAAGACGTATATGAACATTGGGCATTTAAGCCCTGTAAAGTGACTTCAATGGGGATAAGACCTAATTGATACTAAAGACCACTTAATTATACAATGATAAACCGAGTTTAATCAAAATCGTTAGAGCCGTTTTTGAGAAAATTGTGAAAATGTGTTTCAGCGTTGATATAAAGTGGCACTTCCGGTTAGCCGATTTTAAGGAAAAAGTTGCCGTCACATCTAAGGCATATACCTATCTTAAATACGTAATATCAATTTCGTTGGACTTTTCGTTTTTGAGCTAGACTGCTAACATACAAACACACAGACCATTTTTCGGGACTTTGTCATTTCGACTCAGGGTACCTCGAAACGTCTATTTCCGTTGAAAACTCAGATTCAAAAATTTTCTCGATCGCAATACTTACACTTACTATATATTACATATATACGTAAGTGAAAGTAAAAAAATGTCCGTATGTATGTTTAAAAAAATGTATGCTTAATTAACCATTAACAATAAGCTTATTTAAACATAAATTAAATTCCCTGGAAACAAGTATTGGGAATAAATTAACTTTGAATATGATAAGGACGTTTTGAAACTCCTAATTCTATATTACTACTTATAATTACTATATATATTTCTTAATTTGAAGAACACAAAATATGATTATGATATATTCAGTGCCAGCCTTCGGGCGGGGCAACCGGGGCAATTGCCCAGGGGCGCCGGTCTATCTTTAGGGACGCTCGCCACTTGTAAGAAATAAAAAAACGTATTAAAATAATTAATTTTAGTCTACTAATAAAGTAGCTGTATTAGAGAACTGTTGAATGCAATAAAATTCAAATATTACATAATTTTAAACAGCTTTAGAAATAAATTTAATATTTTTAGGAGGGAGATGACATCATTGCCCGGGGAAGTAAAAAAAAAATTGCTGTAAAAATGTATCGTTTATTAATTGTAAATATGTATTTTATGATAGTTCTGGTGTAATTATAAACATTTCATATTACTTTTATTCTTAAAAAGTGGTGCATGCAACTGCCTTGTAACTGACCCGGTAACGCATTTTCTGATCCAATGTATCAAGTTCAACGAGCCAAGAAATAAGTACTTGAAGGCATTTATCACTGAATCCAGAGAAGATGCTAGTGTGGAGGAGATACTGAAAATAGACACTACGAAAAAAATAAACCAACTGTATTATTTCATACAGGGCTGTTCATTGAACTGTTAAATGGTAAAGTTAGTCATATAACATATATTAATTCTTATTTATATTGTCATTTGTCTAATACCTCTCGAATATTTAAAAAAAAAATGTTTTACTAATTGTTATGTATATGTATATATATCGTTTACTAATCTGTTATTATATTAGTCATACTTAATGCTGTGGATATTGTTAATGTTATGTTTGAATGCAGTACTAGACTCAAGATCTAACATTGTTAATTATACCATTATATTTATTTGTACAGGAATTTCCTTAGACAAATAAAATAAACTATCTATCATCTATTACTTTTATTAATATATACTGTAAAATTTTAAGCACCATCGATAATAATTTTTTCAAGTTAATTTATTATTAGCCTTATTTACACCAATTTAAAAAAAAAAAATTGTCACTTAATGACTACTCATCACAATGACGACGTTTCGGCTCGTCGAGCCATTTTCAAGTCTAAAAAAATTTTTCATTTACAATCATATATTAACTTTAGCGTATTTCAAATTATAAAGATTCTTATTATGTACCTAAAATACCCATCATAGTTACTATGACTTACTTAAAAAAACACCATAAATAAACCATAATCCATAAATAAACTAAGCAAACATACAAACAAGTAAATTTTAAATATTCAATGTTATATTTATATGTTTCACAATAATTATGTTGAATTTTAATACATAATAAAAACTTCCGTCATTTTTTTATTTTGGTCCAATGCTCCCCCAATAAAAATCAAAAGTCTGCGCCAACGAATATGGCATTCTTTACCTTCGGGCTAAAGGATTGAACTCTTGATCAAAACAGTGAAAAACCTATTGTCAACTGAAAATATTTTTCCAAACTTCAGAGGTATCAACAATACAGTTTATCTAGTTCCTGAAGTTATAAAACTAAAATCGCCTCGTAAAACCCACTCGATTATCTTCGTGTCTTCCAGCGATGTTATTTTTCCTCACAATTTCTTCGGCAGTATGACATAAATTTTCAATTATGTTTATGTTCCGTGATTTAGAAGGGGTATGCAACCCTAGCCGGGTAACCGAGAAAAAAAATATAAATAAGCTGCCTCTTCTCTTATTACTTACCACTCTACGTTACTCTCCTCAATATTTACCTTGTTTAAAATTTAATTGCGGAAAATTTCGTTCCATTAAAATTATAGTGAAATTTTATATTTCGCCCACTATAAAACTTGTAGACATACCTATTTCTTCTTTAAAAAGTTAATTTATTAATTTTGTGTTTTTCATACGAATAATTTTAAACAGGAGTAATAATGTTGTACTAAGACTTACGATAAACGAATGTTGGTGATATAACTTATTACATCTTAACTATCCGTCTAGCCTCTATAACGTGCTTCTTCTTTGGTTTTATTTTCTTTCTTTTTTTGGGAGGTTACCTAATTTGTTTATTTATTTTTACTAAGCAATCAATTCTACCTGATGTCAAAATTGATTCCAAATCATGCTGCAGTTTCAGGAGAATGAACAAGATATCCCATCTTCTGAAAATAGTGGTTTTCTGCCTCAATCAATTTTAAATACAGTATGCAATGAGTTAAATATTAATGAACCAGAAGTTATGTGCTTGCAGGGAAATGTTCCTAGTGACAAAGAATTCAATTTTAGCCCCCTTCAGTGTTCTTGTAGTTCCTTACCAACAAGTTTTTCTGATTCTAACTGGAACATTGGTTACCAATTTGGTACAAATCAGCAATTCAATCCTTCAACATGTTGCTTATTTGAACAACAAAGTAGGAAACAAACAGAGTGTGCTCTGCCAGCTACTTTATGTGATATTGAACCATTTATGGGAAAAGAAACTGAGTACAAACACATTGATTATGGAGTTCTTTCAGGAAAACAAGGCCCGAGCAATACCTCTGGCGATTGCAGACTGCTTAGTTGTATGCAACCCCAACAACCTCTTAACATATCTATGTTCAATTCTCCATTTCCAACTCAAGATACATCTCTGTTACAGTTCAGCTCAAATAATACCAATAACTATAATATATGTTTAGATTCTGATTGCCTTGATAGAATTGGTAGTCCTTCAAGAAATCAGTACACTTCTTGTATCCTTGACCAAAACTTGGATTTTAATACCTTCAGGGCAGAAAACATAGGGCAAGTTAATGATAAGATTGATTTATCTAATTTTATGTCAATGGATAATGATGAAGAAAGTATACTGAATGTTAATGAAAGTGACGAAGATAGTGAGATCATTGTAGAAGAATCAGATACTGAAAGTGAAGTAAGTTTTAATGAGAATAGATCTAATTTCAAATTTTAATATTGGTACTATTTTACAAGTGTCTTATCTGGTTGACAGATAGGTCAAGATAGCACTTCATGGAAACCTAAAAGTAGTCAAATGCATGTAAGAAATATTTCGCATTTGTTGTATCACTGTAAATGTTTAAGTTGACTCTCCTTAAGTGGTGCATAACGTTAACTTAGTCTAGAAAGTTATTGTCTTTGTTTATTTTAGACAAACTCGGCTAGTTTTAAGTTAAGGTTCCATGTACAGCATACTATACGAGGGGTCTCCAAGTTTATTGGGCGACAGGCCACATTGAAACCTCAACCAAGTTTCGTGGGCCTCATTGAGATCTCCACCAAAGTCCTGCGGGTCATGGCTAGTAATGAAAAAAGATATTTTGTTCTATAAATGTCACTTCACCTGTGAAATGAGCTAAGAGAAAAAAAACATGCAATAAATGTTGTAGTAGCCCGTGTGCGTAACTTGCTTAATTTCATATATTTAAATAGTTTTTAAAAGTTAACCATCTTATCAAAGAAATGTTCGTGGACCAGTTTAAAGGTGCTTGCGGGCCATTTTAGGTCCAGTCCACGTGCCGTAGTTTAGAGACCCCTGTAATATACTTCACAGTCTTAACCTACCTTTCAACCAGATATGATATTTGTATACTAATGCTCTACTTAAGATACTACTTCATTAGTGTCATTCCATTATGATGGATGTTCACGAGATAGATTTCCTTTTTGAAAATGGCCAAGTGTGTCCGAACATAGAAGGAAGCAAATATTCCCCTTGCGAAGACCCTGACCTCAACTGAGAAGTACTCAGATGTGTTTTTTCTCTTTTGAGTGAACGGTAATTAAAAGTCAATATTTAATAATGTCTTCGATTTCAACCGTTAAGGATCTGTTGGAGGTTTGTTTACCACTTTTGAGCTATAGAAAAAACAAAAGTCGAAGCATTGTTACACCTATGAACATTATTGCCAATATTAGGTCATTTTTGGAATTACATTTACTGTGTGAACTTATGAGCCCATCCATCATATTGGAACAACACTCATAAAGTGGTAGCAAAATTTGTATTTATCTAATGGTCAGCAGTTTTTGCTATGTTGTTCAATACTTTCTATATTATTTGTTCATATTTACATCTTAAACACCCTGTACACAAGTGGTTCACAAAAGCTAATCTGTCACCGTTGATAAAAAAAAAATTTAATTATTGGAGACTCCTGAACATGTATAAATTAAAGTGTTTGTAATCGTTAAACTCAATTAATGAAAAAAAAAATGATATTTTTATTTAAACACCAACTGACTTAATTTTACTTAACAATTTAGTGCTTTGATAGCATATTCACTAAGAAAGAGCATTACAAAAATTAGTTGCTATAATTGTATTATGTAACAATCAATGCCTCAATAGAAGGCAAATGCCATGTGGAAGACCAAAAATCGGATGAATAGATAGAATCAACAAAGATGTAATACAGCTGCGTGCAGATAACTGAAAAGAAATAGCCCAAGACAGGCAGAGATGGAGCAGGCTTTTAAGGCGACAAAAGATTTACAAGGTCTGTAATGACAACACAAAAAAAAATGTATTACGTCCACTGACTAATCTTAATCAGTATTAATTTAAAAAAAGATGAAGCTAAATTAATTTTTCTCACTAATCTTTGTGACATGATTGTACAAGCTAAATTCAGAGCTACATAAAACATGAAAATTTTTTAATAACTATAAATTTAATCTGACATACACTTCATTTTATTAAACTAAATAGGTAATGGGATATACTAAAAAAAACTGATGACTGAGAACAACAAAAAGTGTATTATAAAGGTATTTTAAAACTTATGGACCAACTAGTCACGGACTCTTTGTGTTCCTTGAATAATATTTTTGGAAATAATGCTGCTTACCATCAATAAATAGTATTGATTAATTAAATGTAATAATATTGTCATTCGTATTCTAAACTTTCTCCTTTTAATTTATAATTTTATTTGTCTCCTTTCTATATAGATAAAAGTTAATAATATCATCCATGTATATTAATTTAATTAATGTCTTGGTTTTCAGTATCCTTCAGCCTTTATTTTATTTTCACAATTTATATTGAAATTGACACAACGCTGCAGCCATATTTACAATCCTTTGACTATTTATTAAAAAAAAAAAGGGTTATTTAAAGAAGAATCTCAGAAAGGCTTTTTCTTTACCTTTAGTCATCATCCAATAGTCTAAGTTGTATGTAAGTACTGGCTTAAGAAGCATCTTGTAGATCCTTGTGTTGAGGGATCTTCAAGCAAGGTTCAAGTCATCTGCAAATTCTAAAAGTTGAGTTAATTTGTTTAGTAGGTTTCTTTTTGTGTGGATTCTCGATTCTCTAATTACTTTTTTAAAGAAAAAGTTAAATATGACAACAGTTTTCCCGGTTCCCTTACAAAGCATATTTTATCCTCCATCATCATTTTCACTAAACAAATCAGTTTAAGAAGGGTCTTTAATTCTAGCATTGCCTTGTATGCTTCTCTATCCACAAAGTCATATGCTTGTTTAAAACTTTGACTGCAGGCAGGATACATGACTTCCAGTTAGGAGCTGGGCCACCCGTGCAGACGGGATACCTGCCTTCCCAGCCAGTTGTTGGCTCCCTGGTGCGGCTGGGATACCTGCCTTCCCACCTTGGCTGTTGCCACTTAAAGAAATAAGGGCAAGCCCCGCTTAAACCATTTGACTTGTGGCTTGGTCGGTGCATTCATTAGTCCCCCTTGTAGCTCACTCAATTCGGTCGTTTTGGTTTCTGACCACATCAGTTGCAGATTTATTCTGAACACAAGGTATGTTTTTTCTCTATTATTTGTGTCATATACATGATCTTATTTATATTCTATTTAAATGTTTTATACATCAAATAAATGTGAATAAGTTAATTTTATATTTTTTTCTTCTTTTTTTTTATTTAGGTTTCACTGACTGCTGATTTTGGTACACGTTAATCTGTCTACTAAACAAATGGACTAAAGATCTACAGGGAAACTTTTATAGCAGTGCTCCTCTTGCCCACGACCTTATCCCTCAGGATATTTACATGACTGATACGGAACGGTTTGAAATGACGGAGGATGTCCCCACCTCTGTGAAGTGACTGATTCAAAGTTGAAGAAAGGGGAATCCATGCACAAATTCAGCAACAAATGTGTTTGTATCTTGAAGTGGCACGACGAATGAGACATAATTATCACTTCTGAATTTGGTCCTCATGTGAAGGATGTTGATGGTATAGGAAAGTCATTGGTGAAACCAGAGGCCATTTTCTAATATAACCAATTCATGGGCGGCATTGATAGAAGCGATCAGCTGATGTCATATTATCCGGTTGAACGAAAAACCCTTAAGTGGTATAAAAAAATATGAATCCACATTATTCATATTATGATAAATAATAGTTATTTGTTTTACAAAAAAAACAAACAGAGCAATATGAAGTTGCTGCAGTTCAGAGATTCCATAGTAAAAAGCCTCATAGATGAGAGTGCCATTCCTCCTACCCCCATCTCTGTTACTTGCATCCGTCTGCCAGTGATATTTGTTTGTAATAATATATAAAAATGTATATAATATAAATATAAATATATATATATATATATATATATATATATATATATATATATATATATATAAATTATATAATGTAAAAATATAAAGAATTTAAATGATACTTTAGTTGTTTTATCATTTTTTCATCCACCTAAAACCATATATTTCATATAAAATAGAAATGTTTGAAACTCCAAATAAATGTAAGTGTACTAATAAAATTTATAACTGTGCTGTGTTTCAATGTGAAACTTTTTTAGTTAAGAAAAAAATGTGTATATATAAAGAAATATATAATTCGAATCCCGCCTTTTTTTTATAAATAATATAATTTAATTTCTATGATCACTTGCAGTTATTTTTATGATCATTTTCAGTTATTTTGCTTTTCAGGAAATTTATTATTTTCACATACATCGAAATATTTGTTTTTAAAAGATACTGAATTGTACCTTAGTAAATATGGATTTTGGTATTAAATAACTTGAGTATTTATTAGTTAATATATTGAACATAATGAATTATAAATCCTGTTTTTTCTTATTGTTTGAATTAATCAATAGTATGTATCTTATTTCAATTTATTTTTTAGGTTTCTATTGATGTGGGACCATATATCAAGGATGAAGAGAAAGGTCAACCCAAAAAGTCTGTTATGAGATGCTTTGTTTGTAATTTGTCTTATTCTGAAAAACTAGATTTTGTTCAAGTGAACAGTTCATTTCCTTTAACATTCATATCTCAAACTCCTGTAATGCTAAAGCTTATAGAAATAATACCCACAGACATGCAAACATCAGTGAAATTTGAAAACAATCTTATTTGTAAAAGATGTCTTAATCTAATTGATATGGTTGAAAATTTGGAAGTGAGACTTGTTAGTTTCAAGAAAGCCATTTGTGATTTTGTTTCTCGCTCAAGTAAAGATGTATCAGATGAAGATTGGTGTTTAATTCAAGAAAGTAACAATATTTGTATCGATGGCAACATAGAGCCCTTAATTTCTAAAGAGGTGACATTAATTTAATTGTTATTTAACTTGTTAGTTTGCACGTTTAATATTTAAATATCTCCCTTTCCTTCCTTTAGATCTTATTATTTTGATTTTTTAATCTATGACCTTACCATTTTCAATAGTAAAAGAGAAGACGGTGTGGTCATTTCAATAAACCTCTTAGTTTCCTTGATAGTATCAATAGGAATCTCTTAACACTCAATGTACAATCTCTTTCCTGCATTCATTTGAAATTTTATATTTGTATATAATTTTGCTCAAAATTTAATCTGATTTTCTACTGGTGGTTGTGATAAATGGAAATCTGTCAATGTGTATCTGTTTGCATTGTGTTATTTCTATTTCTTTGATCTTTTCAATCAAAATATTTTATTTTTTCCCATCAGATATCCTACTAACATGGTTCCTTGTATTATAATAATCCTAATTCTTTCTTGTATTATTTGGAGCTATTTGTTCTTCTGGGCCACTGATTTTTACTGTTATTTATGGTTCGTCTAATTCTTACCGTCCTGTAATATCTCTGGAAAACATTTTCTTCTTCTCTTTCTATCTGTTGTAATTTTTTTGCAAACATTTGGTTCCTATCCCAGCTCTCAAGAAAAATAGATTTTGACAAATGATGTATCTAAAGAAAGGGAATTTTATGAAGAATGAACAAATCATAATTTCAGTTTTTAAATTGTTACTGAAATTTCAGTAAAAATTATTAAGAAAGGTTGTTAGTTTCAAAACTCTGATGATGGTAAGTCGACAGATCAAGATAGAACAAGTTGATTTCCGATAAAGTTGAGTTTAGGCACTACAACTATATTGGACTTCCTAAACATTGTGTACAGTTTTTGGTTTGTTATTCTTTTCCATTACCCTTTAACCAGAATACCTCTATAGATTCATCTGAAGATTCTTCTTTCAAAGACTAACAGTTCATGCTTACAAGGCTTGGAAATAGTCTAATTCTCACAGCCATCCAGCAAGCATATCTTTCTCCAAAACTGCTGTGCCCTAGAGAAGTAGCACTAATTTGCAGCTCTGGTCACCAATGAGCCAATATAAACAAAGTTCTTACTCTTCTCGAACTGGTATCCTCTGAAAGGTGACCTTCTCCACAGGCCAGTTAATTTCACCTTCTTTTCTTTTAGATAGGTCTATCAATTAATGCAGTGCAAGGTTTTCGCATATGAAATTAGGAATCTGCTTTTAATTTTCTATTTTCTAGTATGTTCTTGTAAATTATTTTAGACCTCAAGCTTGTTTGATTAATATATATATTTTTTTAAAATATAAAAGTAGTTATCTCTCCCTCCATCACTCTTGATTTTTCTGGACTTCAAGCTAATCTGTTGTGCTAATTATCAAGTAGTGTTGAGTATGGCTTTCTGACTAACAAAGCAATCCAATTCTCTGTCTGTAGATACAGCCATACTGTCACAACTTTAAGATACAGCCAGAATTTATTGCTTTAGTAAAATTTAGCACTCTGTCTTTTAAGCTAATTAGTAAATTTATAATCTTTTTTATTTGATGTTTATAATTACTTTTTAATTATAGTTCTTATATTCTGTATTAACGCTTATAGGTTGGTCAAACTGATGCTGCTGTGGAAAATGGAGAGTCTGTAGAAACATTTAACAGAAATAATAAAAATGTGAATGATTTTGAAATTAGGGAAACCATGACTGAGCCAATTAATAGTGATTATAATCATCAAAATACAAAAGACACTATTGATAATAACGAGAAACATATGAATCAGTTTGAAATCATGACTGATTCAATTAATAATGACCATTCTCATCAAAATACGAAAGGTACTATTGATAATAGTAAGAACATTACGAGTATAAATGAAGATAGCAATGTTAAAGTGTTGAGTGAACCTGCAACAATTAGTAATTGTAATGATAATTTAAGTTCAAAAGTAAATTCTAGCTCTACTGTTAAGCTTGTTCCTAAAATTCAGCTATCTGTAGATTTTAAGTATCAATGTGATCGTTGTGGAAAATTGTATAGACGAGAAAAGGAATTGGCGTTTCATCTTAAAAAACATATGGGGGAGTTTTTGGAAAAATGTACTGAATGTGGCAAAGGTTTTATGAAAAAATCAAACCTTGAAGTACATCTTAGGAAACATAGAAAACATATTTGCCTTAATTGTAGGGCTAGTTTTGTATCAGATATAGAATTATCTGATCATTCAAAACATTGTAAAGGAAACAAATTTACTTGCCCTCAATGCAAACTTGTTTTCTCCTCCAATGTCAAGCTAGAAAATCATATAGAAAAACACAAAGTAGGTGCTAATAAATGTTCTATTTGCAATAAATCATTTAAACATCCAAGTTATCTAGTAGCCCACATGATAAGTCATTCTGATAAAAAACCTTTCTCTTGTGAAAAATGTGGAAGGAGTTATAAAAATCAGAACCATTTAAAAAGACATTTAAAAACTCATTCTGGATTAGCATGCCATATCTGTCAAAAAGTTTTTTCATTTTCAGATGAGTTGAAAAATCATTTAAATACCCATGCAGAAGAAGAGGAATGTGATATCTGCAAAAAAAAGTTTTCTAAAAAGTATTTGCTCCATCATAAAAAAATCCATAAAAATACAACTAAAAGAAAAGAATGCCCTATTTGTAAGAAATTATTAACCACCCGTCTAAAAGTTCATATGGCAAAACATTCTGAAACCAAAGAATATAAATGTGAAATTTGCTCAATAGAATTTACATTTAAGCATTCGTTAGTAAAACATGTGCGACTGAAGCATAATGTTAGTTAATCTCATTAAATTAAGCTTATGAAAACAACTTTACAATTTTTATATTGATGAAGAAAACGGAAGTCTGGGTCAAGAGTAGCACCAAAAACTAGTAGAAGTTATTTATGTTTCAGCCCAGAATGCATATTTTTGACAGGGCTGTAAACAACAAGATACTATTAGGATCAAAATGTAGTTTAAGTGTGAAGAAAATATTATGACATGACAAGGGAAGCAGTTAAAAACAAAATAAAATTATAAAAGTAGGCTATTTCTGTTTAATTTACTAATTATCAATTTTTCTTTTTTTAAAGCTGATTATTTATGTAAAAATGTTATTTATAAACTCCAATTTAATTAATTTTAAATTAAGAATTCAGTTTGTTAATTTTTCCATCAGTTCTATACAGAAATTTAATTTCAATTCTCACAGATGAGTTGGGGCCTAACCTGTTAAAATTTGTATTTTATATTACTTCGTTATCAATTTCCTTATTATTTTTTTAATTTATACATCATAATGTCACATTATTTATATTTCTGTACTATGTCATATACAAGTAGCTGTGATTTAATAATTGTATTTATATTATAATTTAATTATATTCATTAATAATTATTAAATCTAATAATTTTAATTACATTGCTGTGATTTAATTTAATATAGTAAGCAAACTGATGCATCAGTTAATTTTATTTGTAGTTTTAATTTTTTTAAAATAAACATTTAAGGTATTTTATGTGAAATATATCCTGATGTTTAAATTAAAAATAGCTTGTTCACTACGCAAGCAATAGTTTGAACCCTAGTAGAATTATAAAATAACATTTTTGTGTTGTAAGAATAATTCATTATATTTCTATTTTTTTCTAAAATTTATTTATTTATCTTTAACACAATCATGACAGCTGGTTCATCCCCTTCATGTATTGCTGTTACTGATTTAGAGTTCTTCTTAATTTTTTGTCCTTGAGAGATTAGAATATTTCAGGTAACAATTTGAGGAGTGGTGGGTGATGAAAAAAGGGGTGACAAAATTATTCTTGCTCCTGGTAAAATTCCTAATTCCAACCCTGAGGAAGGTGACACATAGTGGGACAAGTGAGACAAAACTCATGACAATGACCAAAATTGAAAATGTCTTTAATAATTTTATAACCTAATAAAATTAGAGTTGAGTTAGTTGCAATATTACTTTGCAAAAGGTCGGTTGATTCAATTTTTTTTATATTGTAAAGTTTGCGATGAATATAAAAGTCCAAGTTTTCAACATTGAAAGACTTGTGGATTCGCCACAGTGCTCGAAAAACCAATGAAACTTTGGTTTATGCTAACTATCTCCTTTTTAAATACATAGCTTTTAAAAAAATGACTTTATTCAATCTTAAAGAGCTTAAAATTTTCTAACATTTTTTGCTAAATCCAATGGAAAGAACTATCTAATTCAGCAGCTATAGATTTCTAAATGAATTCATGCAATTGTTTTCTGGTTACTCTGTAATAATTTTTATATTTACCATCACAAAATTTGTCTTTTATAAAGAATTCTCCATGCTTGTTTCGTTTATTCAAGTAACTAATTCTTGATTTTTTTTTTTTTTTTTTTTGGAGTTATGAGTTTAAAATCCTGCCTTCCACATCATCGAAATCAATTGATAAAAACAAAAATTAGGAATAACTACGACTCAACTTATGCTCATACTCGCAGGATCACTCCTCACTGTCGATTTAATTGCAATTTCCTGTATTTAATCCTGCTTCCTTTGTGACATCTGTTCACCAAGCTGGGTTTTAAATTGTGTCTGGCCTTAACCATTGCACAGCGTTGCCGTTCTCTTTCCAAATTTGTACCTGCCTTTATATTTTTTGGAAGTGATTATGTTTATATAGTTCTCATGTTTACGAATATCAAGAATCAAAATTTACTATTATGATTAGAAATTAAGAATTTTTATTTATCCGGTTTTCTTCGGAACAATGTATAATTGGCTAATGAAATAGATTCATTAATATATCAGAAAACATGTTCATCAATACACAAGTATATATAAAGTCAAAAATATTTGACGGTTTTCAAACAAATGGAAATAACAAGAAATGTTTTTTTTTAAACTATTTAAAAATAGGGTTAAATCCCACCTACAATTTTTTTTTAAAAGATGAAATGGGTAGATACCCAATATGTTTGGGTAGATGAGTGATACTTTTTTTACTTTTGTTTTTTTGGGGGAAGGGAGGTTAACTCCCCTTCCGAATTTTTTGTAAAGATGAAATGGCAATATGTTTGGGTAGGTGGGTGACACTTTTTTTACTTTAATTTTTTTTGTGAAGGAAAGGGGTTCCTCGCTCCTCTGAATTTTTTCAAAAAATTATAAAATGACAGTATGTTTTGCCATGTGGCGGATAGTTTTTGGGGGAAAGGAAAGAAAGAACCCTCTTATTTTTTTAAAAATACAAAATGGCAGTGTTTTATGTCATTTAACTCAAAGGCGCAGATTTTCGATTTTGATTGGGGAAGGGGCCAATGGAACAGAAAAAAATGGTGGGAGTGTTTATTATGTGTTAAAATTCAACATAATTATTGTGAAACGAACAAATATAGAATAGAATAGAATAGAAAATAAAATTATTCTGGGACGAAGTTCTGTTAAGAATAACACAATATTACAAAAATAAAAGAATAACATATGACCAGAAAATTTGTTACATAGCTAGATACAAAGCTTTAAGTAAATAAACTATATATATATATATATATATATATATATATATATATATATATATATATATATATATATGAATTGTGATGTTAAGAATAGGTTTGAAGCTTTAGAGCTTCCTGACCAGGACCACGAGGATATTGACAAGTTATGGATAGAGATCAGAGATAATATTAAAGCGGTCGGTAACTCGTGTCTAGGAAAAAAGGAAAATAAGAATAACAAACCGTGGTTTGATGAAGATTGCTTAAACATGTGTGAAAAAAGAAAAGCCGCTAAATTAAAAGCTCTAAATAATCCTAGCGAAGACAATCTGGAATACTTCCGAATCTCAAAGAACGAAACGACAAAATTGCTCAAAAATAAAAAAAGGGAGTATCTTAAAAATAAAATAATTGAAATAGAAACTAATAGAATTGAAAATAACGTAAGAGAAATGTACAAAGGTATAAACAGATCACGTAAATATGTAGGGCCCGTAACGTCTGGAATTAGGGATGATAATAACAATATTCTGACCGATCCGGTTGACATATTGAATAAGTTTAAGGACCACTTTGACAATATTTTAAATACGGGAAATTATGATCTGTGTCCTCCTTCTGAGTACCAGAGTGCTGAACCATTAATAGAAGGACCAAGTAAAGAGGAAGTTGAAGTAGCTATCGGAAAATTAAAATCATATAAAGCAGCGGGAATCGATAATATTCCTACTGAACTAATTAAGGCATGCGGAGAAGCTGGAGTTTCTAAAATACATCGGTTGGTTAAAAAGATCTGGGTGAACGAGAAATTACCTGAAGAATGGAAAGAATCTATTCTTATTCCGATTCACAAAAAGGGTCCGAGGACGGATTGTAATAACTATCGAGGAATTTCACTGCTTCCGGTATGTTATAAAATATTCACTTTAATCTTAACCAGTCGAATCACGGAATACGCCGAGGAAATTATCGGAGACTACCAATGCGGATTTAGACGGAATCGTTCGACTATTGATCAAATATTTTCTTTACGGCAAATATTAGAGAAAAAATTGGAGTATAACGGTATTGTTCACCAGCTGTATATAGATTTTAAAAAGGCTTACGATTCTATTGACCGCCAGAAACTGTATAATATTCTAATCGAGCAGGGGATTCCAAAAAAACTAGTAAATCTAGTCAGGATGTGCTTGACGGAGACACTCAATAAAGTTAGAATCGGTAATAATTTGTCCGAAAAATTTGAGGTTCGTTCGGGCTTAAAACAGGGGGATTCTCTTTCGCCTGTCCTGTTCAATTTGGCATTAGAACATGCCATTAGGGAAGTAATGCGAACCGAGAAAGGGTTGGATCTGGGCGGGACAACATCCGTGCTGGGCTATGCTGATGATCTGGTACTGTTAAGCGAAGACGTTGAAACTATAAAACTAAATACGACAACGTTAATGAAAGCCGGTAAAGAACTAGGACTCGAAATAAACGTGGATAAAACAAAATATATGGTTAGCTGCAAAAATGGCGATACTACTGGTGATATCGATATAGATGGTAATATGTTTGAACAGGTAGATAAATTTAGGTATCTAGGTTCTACGATAACTAGAAAAAACGAAATTGAAGAAGAGATTAAGGTTAGACTGAAGGCGGGGAATGCTTGTTATTTTTCTGTGACAAAACTACTTAGTTCGCGCCTCTTGTCCCGAAACTTAAAAATTAGAATCTATAAAACAATTATCTTGCCTACAGTTCTTTATGGATGCGAAACTTGGCCGCTTACATTAAGGGATGAGCAGCGTCTTAAGGTTTTTGAAAATAAAGTATTGCGTAGAATATTCGGACCGAAGAAGGATGAGTTAACCGGAGAGTTCAGACGGTTACACAACGCCGAATTGCGTGAGATGTATCCGGGTAATATAATTGAGGTAATTTCATCGCGGCGAATCAAATGGGCTTGTAAAGTTGTTGGGCTTAGTAACGAGAGAATTCCTAAAAGGTTAATATTTGCTGTGCCGAATGGTAAGCGTCCGAGGGGAAGACCGAAGCGAAGGTGGGAAGATTGCATTAAAGCCGATCTGAAGGGACTGGGTTTGGACGGCGAACGGTGGAGGGAGGTGTGTAACAAGCGATTGGTGGTGTCGGCATCGAACCTTCGGGTTCGCTAAGCCTTATTATTATTATTATTATTATTATTATATATATGAATTGTAGGCTCTGAAGAATATAACATGGTCGCTGACTTCTAATGGCCTGGTATAGAAAGGTAGCAAGGAAGTGCTGACGGCGGTAGGAAGGATAGAGCCACTTCAACTCGGCGTAATACTTGGTAATATACGTATCTCTTAAAATCTGGAAGATAAAGCGTATCGAGCAATTCATTAGGTGTTTAAGTTTGGCGTCGAGTTCTAACGAGAGTCCACCGTATACCAAACAATCATAGTCGCAGTGGGGGTAAACAAGAGAGGAAACCAGGAGTTGACGGGTTTTGTACGAAAGTAGATAGCGTTGATGGTTAAACTGTTTTAGGGTAGAAATAGTACGACGGGAAATTTGGGAGATGTGTGATTTCCAGAAGAGGGTTTGATAAAAAATAACGCCAAGGTTTTTAACGGAAATTTGGATAGAAACAGGTGAATTATTTAGAAGAAGATTAGGAGGTACAAGATTGGATTTTATGAGTGCGGGGGATCCGATATGGACAGCTTTCGTCTTCTCGGCGTTTTGGGTGAGCCTATTGCGGTTTACCCTAGATTCTATCCAAATCTTCCTGAAGTTGTAGGATTGCTGCTGTGGAATCAGCCGGATCGAAGGAAAGGTAAATTTGGACGTCATCGGCATACAGGTGGTATTGGCTGTGCAGGATAGAGGACGGAAGGTCATTGATATAGATGGAAAAAAGGGTGGGAGATAAGGAGGACCCCTGGAGAATGCCTCTGGACAAGGATAGAGACTCAGATGGGGGATTCTCAGGGACTACAACATACTGGGAGCGACCGGTGAGGAAGGATTGGAACCATTTAAGGACACTAGATAGGGGCAGCTACTGTTGGTAATTTGATAGAGGAATGTGCCTAGAAAATATTGTCTACGGAATGAAAGAAAGAGCCACCCTGACTCGGCGTAGTGGTGGGAGACAAGGGAACGTCTTGGGTCCCCAATGCCAAATCTGACAAAGCTATTCATAAGTCTCCTCAGTCTGTCACCGAGACCCACTAAGGGACCGTCGTACACCACGCAGTCGTAGTCAAAGTGGGGGAAGATGAGAGAAGAAACTAGGAGTCTCCGGGTAGGTTCGGGGAGAAGATGGCGGAAGCGATGGAATAATTTCAAAGTGGAAATTGGGTCGAGCGAATAGGAAAATAAGTTGAGCGATGTGGGAACTGTGGTAATTCCAGGAGAGATTTTGATCAATGAAAAAACCTAAGTTTTTAGCAGAGGAGTAGAAAGTAATGGGTTGATCATTTATGTAAAGTGTGCGAAACTTGGAATTGGAATTGGATCGGAGGAGGGCCTTGGAACCAATGATAATGACCTGAGTTTTAGCAGCATTTAACCTTAATCCGTTTAAGTTTGCCCAGGATCTGATTCGATCTAGGTCTTCTTGGATCTTAGTAAATGCCACCAATAGCTAAGGGAGAGAAAAGAATAGATATATTTGAGAATCATCTGCATAAAGGTGGTGGGAACAATGGATAATTGAGTCATGTAGGTCGTTAATATAAGAGCTAAAAAGGAGAGGATATACGCTAGATCCCCGAACAACTCCAAAGGATAAAGAAAGGTAGGTAGATATTGGTTGAATAGATTTGGATACTGCTTTGGTACGTTTTAAGAGGAAAAATTGGAACCAAGAGATGGAATTATTGGAGAAGGAGAATGATTTTAGTTTGTTGAAGAGTATCAAGTTTCATGGCCGCAAGTGCTGTGCAATATTCATATCGTTCTGTCTTTGCTACATTGTCATCTGATGTTAATTCTAAAAAGGTGTTTATAAACAGTTAAACAGTTTTACGTAATAATTAGTGAGGTGAGTGACTTTTTAATAACAATACATAACATTAAATTGATACTCGTTTGCTAGAGACAGTTTACGTGGCAGATAATTCTCCTCAGCGGGTCTTATCTTTCAAGTTCACGGTCACAGCGCTTGGCTTTACGTCAGACAATTGCGAGTTTGTACCTAAGACAGTGTATATATTTTTTTTTTCTCTCTCTCTTTTTATTTACTTGTTCATTATTATTTTCTATCTTTTTTTTTTTACTAGAACTCTTTCATTTTATTTATTTAAAGAAATGTTGCATTTAATATGTTCATGTAGTTTTGTAAATAGATTAGTTATTAAGTATTTATTTTGTATACTTTCTTATTAGTGATACTTTTTTTTTGTATATATTATTAAGAGGTTTGGAACCTGATGGAAGCATTTCTTGTGACGAATCAGATGAAAAGACTCGCTTCTCCGAAATCAGTGAGACCGATTCTCAATATTTAACCAGGTGAACTCAATAAAACCTCAACAGAAACTCTACCCCCGGGTCGGAGGGCAACTCACCTAATAAAAAAATAAATAAATCCTCTCTAATAAATAAACAAGCTCTAAAAATAATTCAGCTATGAAAGCTGAAACTGAACCATCTACTAGCACATAGAGCAACAATTCTGTTTTCGCCAATAATAAAAATAACGAGATTACTGAAACTCAGACTTTCACTGAACCAGAGTCACCACCGATATATGTAACCAAAATTGACAACTTCATGCAGTTCGGTCAAGAAATAGCTAATCTGATCGGACAGACCAATTTTCGGCGTTTTTGTCATATCAACGACATAAAAATCAATAACAACACCAAAGATGACTATAAAAAACTTAATAATCACTTGACAGCACACAATTATGATTTCCACTGATATCAAGTAAAAGAAGAAAAAACATATAGCGTCGTTTTGAGAGGTCTTTACTCAACCACTCTCACTACCGCTATAAAAAAAGATATCTTGAAGACATCGGCCACAAATATAAATATTAAATCAGTCGCAATTTTTAAAAGCAGGGGCTCTAGAATGGGAGTCAAGCTTCATTTTACTTAGAATAACATCCAATTTTCTAATTTACATTCAAACCTTCGCCTACGACGAGGTCCCTTTAGGACATTTATCTACCTCCAAATTCATTTCTAATATCTCATGTACAGGAAGTCGCTGGCGATATTTGATTCTATGATTTATTAATTGATTCAAATTCCGCCAGAAACACCAATTATATGGTTAATCGATGCCATTTTGTGTAGAAAAATGCCAATTTGCTTACTGAAACTTACGTTTTGCTCTTAGGAATCCATAATCATTCATCTGATACCGTGATTGCGTTCTGATGAAAAAATAAATGTTAGATGGCAGTGGAATAAGTTTCTTGGACTCCTACCTGCTCATGAAAGCTTTTTTTTTTTTACTTTAAGACTTGTAAAAACAAGTCCTATTTTGCTAATAAAATATTTTAATTTTCATAGTAAGATGAAATTACACTGGATATTTATTAATTATTTATAGATAGATGATCACTGAATGTAACTAAATATTGAATGTTACTTATATAGAACTTAAACTAGAAAGGCTAATAGTTAAAAACTGAGGTGACAGTAGTTTCATTACAATTAAATGAGAATAAGAGGCGGATTTTATTATATAACTGCTTTTATCTCATTCAAAAACTTAATCAAGTCACGGGCGTTATCTTTATTCATCGACCGAAGAAAGGTAGCTCCATCATCCGTAGTTTGCAATCCTAAACTAATTCTTCTTCGCTTCTCGAATCTTTTGCACTTGAAGGCAATGTGTCTTGGATCCTCCAAGCATTGGCATGTTGGGCAGTGATAATTCTTAGCTATACCCATTAGATGTAGATACTTATTAGTTCTACCATGATTTATCCTAAGCCTGGGCAGCTTTATTAAGTTGGAGAGGTCGAGATGATATTTAAGAGTCGCAAACCATGGAACCAGTGCTATCTTCTGTTGAACTGCATCTTCAACTTCCTTCGAGGCACCCTCCGTCCTCACACTTCGAGGCACATTCCCAGTCGTAGAAATGCTGCCAGTCTTTCTTTATTTTCCCCCTCACTATTCTTATCAAATCCAGTGAAGGAACCTTAGTATTTATTCGATGTAATTGGTTTTGATTTGCCGCTTTTTCTGCCATTTCATTTCCTGATATTCCTACGTGTCCCGACACCCACTGGAAAGTTGTGAATTCCTATTTCTTGACGTAAAATGAAGGTTTCCTTTAGGAATTTAACAGTCATTTAAAAAATAAACAGCAAAGTATAAATAGCAGAAATAGAAAAACTTTATACCTTGTATTTCTAACGTCCTTTTTAATACGTACCTCGCTGCAATTTTAAGTAACTATTTCTTTGATCTCAGAAGGTTTTTAAAAGTTACTGATAAACTCAGGAGTTACTAAGTGACAGTTTGTGATACATGATGTGGGCAAGTTTGGCACAGGTGTTCTGTCGTATTAATGAAGGATATTATATTCCTTGATTTAAGTTATAGCATATTTCAATTTTTGAACTAGGTGGAACTTAACATCATACTCCGGAAATCCACTATCTATGAAGGAGGATAAATAATTTCTTTGGTCAGAGTAAGTTTTGTTTTGTTATCAATTTATATTTTTTATTGTTATGAAATGTATCATTTAATTTTACTAATCTATATTTACTTCTTCTATTTTCTGTTTTTATTTTATAATTTGAAATAATGATTAATCTGTGCTGTTATTTTGTTAAGTTCAATGATGTTAATAAATATAAAATAGGACTTGATATAAATGACATTATGTACTCTGCTTCCAGCTAATAACACTATATTGATGTATACAATTAAATTGTGTTTTAATATAATTAATTTATAAATTCTTGAAGTTTACTTATTAACAGTTATTACCGGTTTCATTACGTTTATTTATTTATCATTTTTGGATCTTGTTTTAATTCATACGAAGTGGAGTAATGCTTAAAACTGCTTATTAGTTAGCCCCAGATTTATATTCATTACTAACGATAAAACATCTTCATCCAGCATTTGTTGTATCAATAAAAATTAAATATCTGATATACGTATCTTCATGTTTTTGATGTCGTATTTATCAAAAGAATTGTGCATTTGTACTACAAGATTCAATGTCTATTGTGTTAATCCTTGTTAGCCAGATACAAGACCTCAACAGAAATCTGAACAGTGCTTAAAAGTAGGTATTAATTATTATATATATTAATATAATGAACTTTTCAGTAATACTCAAAGGCATTTTTCTTTGAAGAAGTGTAAAAAATTATAATTTGATTATTATCTCTTGCTTTTGATTAGTTCTTTTTTATTTTTTAAATGCCTTTAAAATTGCAATACTTCATGAGACTGGTTTAAGGGTTATTAGATTTAAGTTTGGCTGTAACAGATAATTATTCATTTTGTTGCATCAGCTGTAGATTCACTCTGGGACTGGAAGAATCTCTTTGGGCACACTCAGCCTCTTTAAAGTCGATACACATAATTAATGAAGGGGGAAAGTTTTGTGGCTGGATATTATCTCGACCAAATCAGCTTCCTTCTTCACTTTGTCTTGCTTCTACTATTCAGTTTCCTTTTTTAAAAACTTATTTATGGTCTAATAATTCCCATTATAGGTATATGGCATATGTGGGGAATCTTTTTATCGTTAGAGGTCATAGTAATGAAGTGCAAATGGAGGCCGCAATAATTCTTTCTATTTTACCATTTATATTATTATTTATCACTAAATACACACACCTACATACTACATTAAACTTAATTCTATTAATTTCCAAATTATCATTACTTAAATAATTGAATATTAATTAATTTTAGCACAAGATTGTTAAATATCAAACAAAAACGTTTGGAGGCCGCATGTGTTGTGTCAAAGACTACGGTTTCTCACTTATGCTATATGGGCAGGCCCCATCCAAGTATACTTGTTTTTATGAATCTTATTATATTTTCTTTTTAAACCAAGTTTTCCTATTTTATGTTACAGTTTAGGTAACTATTTCTATGTTACTTTTTATTCTGCATTGAAATTTTACTTGTGTTGTTCCATAGATTCTGCTCTCAATATTTTTCCCATCAGAAGTTTTTTTTTTTTATCCTCATTTCTTTCCAATCTTACAATTTTTTAAAATTATTTTTTCTTTTTACCGATTGCCAAATTTATCATTTATTTCTCTTATGAATCAACTTTTTATACAAATCAATTATATTTTGAGTATTTATTCCATAAAATATTTCTAATGCCTTTTTGTATTACTAATTTATAGTTTAAAATTTTATCACTGGTTATTCAATTTCAGGTGATTACATATTTTTGTCATGGATATAAAGCAAGAATTTGATTGCATGGTTGAAACATTTGGTGAGTATTTACCATTATCTATAAGCTTGAAATTAAATTTTGTTTCTATGAAGTGACAATTGCTTTTTTCTTGATCTATAATGATAGTGATCTATTCGTAATTTTTCCATGCTCTATATGACATTAATTCAATACCTGTCAGTTTAATTCATAAAGTTAATAATAATGTTAATGATACTAAAAGTGCTTGTTATAATTCCTTTGACCTATATATCTTTCTTAAATTTCAATTTCAAAAGAAGAGTGGAGAATAGTAATAAAAGAGGCCCTGGTTCTTATAGGCTTTAGCGCCAAAAAATAAATAAATACAAATAAAAAATATATCTTTTTAGACAATATATTGATAGCCACACTGCAAAAACCTCTAGGTGCATCAACTAAAATTATTTATAAGACAAATAATAAACTGCATATTTGTTATTTAATGAACAAGATTTTCCATTAATTTTTCTATGAATGCTTAATACAAAGATTTAATGTTTTATGTAATTATTTGTGTTTCTGAATATACTCAAGGTCAGACCCCTTTTTATCAAATTATTAACATCCACCTAAAACTTTGTAAATAGTTTCCTCTCATCGTAACTTACATCGATTTTATTTTCGAAAACTCTTGGAATTGGGGAGCAAACATTGTCTATTTGATTAGGAACTAAAAACTTGTATAAAACCATTTATTTTCCATTTGAATCGTAAGATAATTTGATCTTAAAATCAAGAACAAATGTGCCCTTTAAAAATATTGAGCCATTCACCTACATCTCCAAAATGTCAAAATAACTAGGTTATATAGGCCAAAGGCGCAATATTTTTGTAGACTACATTTTTCTCGATTTTGTGATAAAATTATCTTATGGTATAAATGGAAAGCAAATGGGTGTTTACGAGTTTGTAATACCTAATTAAATAGACAAAGTTTGCCGACCTCCAGATTGAAAACGCCCCAATTCCAAGAGTTTTCGAAAATAAAATAGTTCTAGGTTACGATCAGATAAAGCTATTCACGAAATTTTAGGCGGATGTTAATAATTTGATAAAAACGGGTCTGTACCATGGACTAACATTTTCTAATCAAATTGTACTTAGAGGCTTTTGCATTGTGGTTGTTAAGATATGGTTTAAACCTGCTTTTAAACTGAAGAAGTATCTCTAATTTTTTTCCTATTGGCTTGATGGTTCTGTTTTCCAGTTTACTGCATGCAGCTCTGAAGCAATTTTGTTTATTCTATCGATCTATATGTATGTTTTTTTCTTCCACTTAGTCTCTTGCCAGCTAATGTGGCATTCATTGTTACGTTTAGGCTTACTGATGCATTGCTTCAATATAAATTGAAAATATTTTACGTCTTGACAAAGTATTACTTTGTTGGTTATATTTTATAAAATTAAAGTAGAATAAGAATTTAAGATTAAAGGGCCATTGAAGAAGAAGTACTAAAAGTATGAAAATATAAAGGATTTCTCAGTTCTTAATGGCCAAACTCTGAGAAGTGATTCTAGAAAAAATCTCCAACAAAAATCTTCCTTTGATGCATCGGCTGATTCCGAATGGAAAAGGAGTTAACACTAATTTTTTGCCTTTCTTAAGATGGTCTCGGTTTTTATTGAATAACAAAAAAATCCTCAAAAACTATTGAAGATAATTAAATTCTAAGCACACCATTGTGGAATAGATAAAATTTTCTATAAGAAAACTTTTTCAGTAATTAAATTAGCTAAGGTCAATGATAAAAAGGACTTTCAAGAGGTCTAATACGACCGATGTACTACTATTGTTACCCAACCCAACATTGTATAGATCATCCAATTGAGTAGGCTAAGGCGGGAAGAACACGTGTCAAGGATTGAAGAAGAGGAAATACCAAAGAAGCTCCTTAAGCAACCACTGTATGGTACAAGAAGGAAAGGAAGGCCAAGATTGTATTGGTTTGATGGTATTACTGAAGATGCTAGAAGTATTCTCGGAATAAGGAACTGGATAGTATCTGCACAGGACAGGAACAATTGGCGGAAGCTGCTGAAGGAGGCCAGGACAGAAAGACAAAAGAATTCTGTTTTTTTCATTGCTGCATATTGCTTAATTTTTTAATCTATATTTAATATATATTAAAAGTATTTATATACTCAATCAGCTGATAGAATAGTTACAAGAATGTTAGTTCTTTCAACTCTACAAGCACCATCAGTCCTAAAAATGTTGGATTGAAACCCCTCGATTACAGAAATGGCACTAGCAGGAATAGAAAGAAAAAAAATGTTAGTTCCTGACAAAAATAAGATTATTAATTTGAACTGTTTATATACTTATTACGGATAATATTTTTTTTTTCTTTTATGAAATGATATACGTTAATAAACAGTAGTTCAAACAAAATTCAATTATAGTAGAAAATATATTTTCTTTATTGCTTAGATATATTACAAATGTTGAAATATTTCCAGTTATAGGCTAATTTTTTTAATTTTCAGTTTTAAAGAATATACTTGTAAAATATCAATGAAATTTATGTGCAACTTAATTCATTTGTTTAATTTCTTAAGCAATGTTTTCTGTTTTTTAGATTCTTCTGAAGTTGATACCGAGGAACTATCATGTAAGTTGTTAAAGACTTAACAAAATGAATAAAATACGTACCTGAAGATAACTTCTAATGAACTATTTCATTTCTTTTTTTTTTTTTTTTTCAGCTATTTCAAACTTATGCAAAGAAGAAGTTCTTATTGAAGATGAATTTAAATTGTTTAAAGGTAATTTTAATTCAATAAATAGTGTTTTTTTATTAATTGCCTTTTGCTTTATATATTACGTTACAAATATATTTTTATAAGTATTAGAAGCAGCTTAGGATAAACTTTTACCTTCTCAATTGTGACATCTTTGCATTCTATCAGCTTAATGGTTCAGCGAACAGAACAATTCATGAAAAGTCAGAGCCTTTCTTATATGGAGTCTCCATTCTTCTTTGTTTTGTGCTATTACCTTTCAATTTTTTATTTCCAACAACTTCTGAGCATCTACTGCATGATCCATCCAGCGCAGGCAATTTCTTCAAATCCTTCTTCCTCTGAATACTTATTCTTCTAAAAGAATTTTGGAGACTTCATTATTATTCATTTCTTCAGCATGCCCAGCCCATCCAATCTTTATTAATGGACGATATCTAGATCATTCTAGAGATTCATTAGTTCGGCGTTTTACCTCGATCTCCATACACCGCTAACACTATTAGTGTTAAAATCATAATCCTTCTTTTGAATCTCAATAGAGATAATTCCAGTGCTTTCATCAGTATCCAGTGCTCTGATGAATATGTGAGGACTGTACTGATTAGGATCTTATAGATATTTATCTTGGTGTGGATTTGCTTTTTAGATGCCTTTTAAGCCTCTAATAGTATCTATTGGCTGCTATATTCCGTCTCTGAATCTCCACATATTATTCAATTGTTCAACAGTGTTTCAAGATAAATAAATTCCTTGACACATTTGAAGTTGAAGTCTCCTGTTTTTACTTTACTTCCCAGATATTCTTCTCTTTTATGATTGCAGAGCATAAACTTTGTTTTGAACTTGTTCACCTGCTAACCAATTTTAACGTTCATTTGTAGATTTAGGAAGGCACTCTTCATTCTTTAAAAACTTCATCTAACAGCATCTGAATCATTGGCATAATCTAGAATTTGTCATAATTTATTGAAAATTGTCTCTCCTATTTGAATTTACTGACTATCTGATTCCACATTCCAAAGCAATATTAAACAGTAGGCATGCTAAACAATCATCCACTCTGAGTCTTTTGTGGCTATGGAAAAGCTCATATGTCTCGGGACACTCACACTGAGTACTGAGCAGCTTTCATAGTCATTCTGACAAGGCAGATTTGCATCAGAGGGATGCCAAGAGCAATCATTCCATTGTAAAGCTCCTCTCGAAGATGCTGTCCTAGGCAACACTGAAACAATAACTTTGCGTTCACTCCAAAAAAAAAAAAAAAATCAATATGTTAGATCCAACTTGAAATAGTAAGACTTATTTTTTAAGATTTACTGTGACTAAAAGGTAATACCTTTCAAAAAATGTCAGACCTGCAGCTAGCAGTTTATATAGTTTTAAATTATACAAGTTTAATTCAGTGTAAGATAAGACATTTTTGGGAGCCTAAATCCTATTTTCTACCTCATCTATTACAAAGACACAACTGATTGCATTTGCCTGACATAAATTTATAGTGGCTATATAACACCAAATTTATAACTGTAATATGTGTAAAACTTTAGCCTGGTTAAAAATGTCAATTTTACCCAAATCGCTTAGAAGATAAAGAAAAATTTGCTAAATATCGTCGTTTTTTGATGATCGATTTCCTGGACTGGACATAACATAATCCTGGACCATATCTATCATGTTAATTGCTCTCTTATCTCTTGAAAAAATTTGATGTTCTTAAATTCTTGAAATAGAAAAGATTGTCCTGTGAAACCAAATTTTTTATTTTAAATTAATAACTGAAAACATTTATTTTTGATTGGCCCTCATTTTGGATTCAATTCAGCAAAAGTTTATTTTTTGTTTCTTCGGAATTGGCTTCTGAATTAAAACAATTGTGGTCATTATTTATATAATGACTCATGAGAAATTCATAAAATATTCAGGTATCTGTAAACCCATGGAAAATTTTGGTCTTAAATGACTTATATTTAACCTTATAATTCTTAGATTAGCCTACTTAACTTTTGTACAAATAAAATATTTTTTGTTATTTTATTTAAGTTAGTGGAATTTTCTAATTTGTTTTTTATTTCTTCTTTTGATTTAATTTAAAATTAATATTTTTCTTTTTTTGTTAGATAGTGAGTCTGATGAAGTAGAAGAGGTTAAGGTAACTCCAGATATTGCACATTGTTCAAGTTCTGGTAAATTATTATTGTTATACTAATTATATAAAAACTTGGTTTAGATTTAGATATGAATATTTGTTAAAATCAATTTATTTAAATAAACGTAAGATTATTATGAATCTTTATGTTAACGTAACCTTCTTTTGTAGTACTATGTCCCAATAGTTGAAATTATGCTTCCGATTTAAGCAAGAGTTTTGAATATTACAGAATAAACAATTTTGGGGAAAATTGAAAATTATTTATGCATTTATCTGATTGGCTAAAAACATTTTATATATAATATTTTTTATATAATCCAGGATGTTTCCTTAATGTTTGGTGTGTGGGATGAAGTGTAGAATTCCAAACCAGTGAACCAATTTTTTATATATTTTAATTAGCACTTTTTGTTGTAGATTATTCTGATTATGGAACAGATTTTGATGTAAAATAAAAAGCTAAATATGCGCATATATATGTAACTATATTTTAATAAATATGTAACAAAATATGAGATATATTTTGGAAAAAGTGACAATACTTCAAAAAAGTTGACATATAAAACTATATAATAGTTAAAGGGATCAGATTAATATATAAAAGAAAACTTCAAATACACTTATCCCTCGATATCACAAACTTGGTTAGTATTAAACATCAGATAACACAATCTAATTTCTTATCCCCATCAAAAATAATACATTTTATAGCATATTTTTGAAATACCAGGTAAGCACAAATTATTTGGCTAACATTTTTTCTTTTGTATTATATATTTATGATATTTACAACTGTATTAAGAAAAATACATTCAGTAAATGTGATAACAGAAAATAAAAACATGAAAACAATTATTGAGAAACTACCCACTGGTAGCACACTAAAAAAAAAAAAAAATGTATTTACAATAGGAGATCTCGAAGCCATCTTCTTTTCAGATGCCTCAGAGGGTTAACAGGGATCGAGGAAGAAGCAAGGTTAGAAACGAGAGGGTTCAGAATGGTTCTGAAGTTTATTATGAAAGCATAGGCATCTGAGTTGGGCCAATTCGAAAATATAAGGAACATTAAGGACGTTTATTAGTGACAAAGTTAGAAACATTGAGGATTTTACGAAGGATTTTGGATTGTAATGATTGGATATGTGAGGAATTTGATGGCTTCGTGAAATTCCAAATCTCAACTCCTTAAGTCCAAATAGGTCTTATTGTAGTCATGTATATGAGTCTTTTGTAATTAACTGAAAGCTTTAAGCGTTTGTCTAGTAAGTGTTTGAGTAATCGGAAACGTCAAGCGGTTTCTTGTCATTTAAGTCTGGTATAAGAATTCCAAGTTACACGTTTGTCCAATTGGAGTCCAATATACCGGATTCGTTCAACAGGGATAAGTGGGTTATTATTAAAGGATACTATAGGACAGGAAGTCATAGGTTTATGACGAAGGGTAGAGGTGATTTGATGGGATTTATTGGAATATATTTTTACCCTCCAATTTTGATACTATTCTTCGAGGTTTGGGATGCAATTGTTGGATCATTATTAACTGATAGGACACATGTGTCGTCGGCATACATGGTGATGACAGTGTTAGGATGGGTTGTGATGTCAGCTGTATAAACTGTGTAAAGAATAGAACCTAGGATACTACCTTGAGGAACACCAGCAAACTGAGAAAAAAGAGATGAATAGACATTCTTGTGATTTACTTTGAAGTATCTATCAGTAAGGTAGGAATGCATAATGGAAAGTGTGTAAGTGGTAAGAATTTACAGAGTTTGTACATCAGCCCCGGGTGCCAGACTCTATCAAACGCCTTTTCAACGTCAAAAAAGGGTCCCATGCAATACATTCTGCGCTCCAATGCAGAGGAAACTACATCTACCACACAGTGGCATTGCTGGATAGTGGAATAGGATCTGCAGAATCCAAATTGGTGATCTGAGATTATGTGATTCGAATCTAGGATGCCATACATGCGTTTTAGGATGAGTTTTTCCAAGATTTTGCCCATGATTGGTAAAAGGGAGATAAGACGGTTAGAGGATGGTATTCTCGTGGCTTTTTGGGTTTGTATATCATTTTGATGATAGAAAGTTCCCAAGGGTCAGAAAAATATGTGGATCGAAGTAACAGTACTGTTTATATAAGTAAGGAATAGAATGGCTTTCCGAGGAAGTAGTTTTAGTGTCTGAGATGTAATTAGGTCGTGTCCAGGAGATTTGTGGGAAGGTAACCTGTGAATGATATTAGATATTTCTGAAGGATGAAAGGCTTTAGGTGGAAGTGCCATTTGGAGGAGGATATCCAGTTCTGCTTCAATACATTCAAGATGATTTGGGTTAAGAATATTGGGATGTGGATTAAAGGTTTTGAAGAGGTGGTGAGCAAATATTAGGGATTTTTCTTCTTCAGATTTGGACCTGGTTTGGGCTTCGGTAAGAAATGGATAATTAGTCTTTAAATTTCAGAATCCATAGTGATTTGTCGGTAGGTGTAAGTTTTTCAGAAAAATTTAGTAAATTTTGAATTTCTGATTTTAGTTTGTTAGTCTGTTGGATGTAATGAGCTTTATCTTTTGGATACCTAGTTCTATGCCACTTCGATCTAGCTCTGCGTTTTCCCTTTAATAAGATATGAATATGCTGTGGCAAGTTAGTCTTTTGTGAATTGTTAATATTACTAATAAAGATGTTCTACTGTCTGTTATTGATGCTGTTAGTTTTTCTGTGGCTCCATTAATGTCCTTTTTTTTCTTCAGCGAAATTTGTAGGTCTAGTTTGTTTTCCAAATCATCATGAAAATCCAAATCATGTGGGATGTTGGCCAATAATTAGGATTAATGGGTGAGAGGATTGAATAACTTTTGGAAGGTGAGAAATGTGAAAGGATATTACCACGGGAGTTGGGTGTTCGACAACCCCATCTTTGGTGTTTAGCATTGTAATTCTCCTCTGGCAATAAAGTGTGATCCGAGGGATTGGAATAAGGAATCAAGGAGGTTATAGGAGAGGGAATTACCAAGAGGACAGTATACAGCTGAGAATGTGATATGGAAAGGGCTAGTTGAAAGGATGTTGATCGAATAGCATCAGTTGGAGTGGAAGGAATAAGGGAATGGGGTAAAGATTTGTGTATAAGGATGCAAGAACCGGCATAGGAAGTGTTGTCTGGTTGTCAAATCTATAAGGTTCGTATATGAAAATATGTCTATTTAGTGAAATGAGTGTCAGTCAGTAGAGCAATATCAATGTGTTTGTTATGAAGAAATATGTCAAGGTTCTTCTCGGCGGTTGTGTAGTCTGTTAGCATTCCATAAAAGGATAGTTAGGGGCTTTGTGCTCATCAAAGGAAATTAAATGGAATTTTGGTCAGGATTCTGGTGAGTAGAGTGATAAAAGATTTTATAGTGTTTTGTAGGTCCAATAGGAAGGATAAGACTGGAAGTTATGTTAGATGGATGTTGGTTGTGAAGTGGATTTAGGATAGGTTCTTGTGGCGGGTAAGGAGTGTTAACTGAGGGTGAGATCCACCGTTTACAAGCTGGGTCTGGATACGACGGTACTTAAGTAAGTAAGTTAACGGGATGTAAGTGTGAGTCAGGTGATGCCACAACTGAACATTGATCGTACATTGGTTAACATGAATCAGAAACTATTTTTAGCGATGGTTGAGTGAAGTTTTGGCCATTTTAACATTTAAAAGTATGAAATTTTACTTAGAAATTTATAATAATAACAGGCAACTTAATCTTAATAGTATTTTTGGTAGTTTCAGATTCAAGTAACTATGGCTTAAAACAAAAATTAACTGTTACCAAATAAAAAATAACATTTTTTAAAAGAAGCAAATAGTTGCATGATGTCAAAAACGGAATAGCTCACTAATTAACACTCTGAAGGTCGCTAACCTTAGAATAACATGGTAGGTCGCTACAGATATGTGAATCCACTTCACTAACTCAATTTATTGATTAAAAATACCAACAAATTTCTCATTATACTCAAAGTAAAAGATATAGGATGAATTTTTTAATTATATTTATTGAGTAAAAAACATAGTTACATAATTTTAAAAAAAATATTAAAAATCAAAACAAAAATTATGTTGATAAAATTAGGAACTTTAACATTAAATTCTATATCATTAAATATGAACACAAAAATCACCAAATACTAGGAACAATTATAATAGGATTAAATTGGATACAAGAATAATCAATACAAACATAATCACAACATGAACATCAGACTCTGAAAGCCTCCAATTTCTCATCACTGGTCGTGTCTGCCCCAACTGATTAACAAGATTGGCAGTTTCTGGCAAACTCTTCAAATATGTTCCGGACAGGTGCCAGTCGATTGTTCACGTGTGTCTCGGGCTTCATATCTTAGGGATCAAAGAAAAAGTCAAAACCTTCATACACTCATAGTGGGACAAAATATTTCAATTCCAAACTTGGAATTAATTGTGCTACTTGAGTCCCACAAATCATCCATATTTTTCCCCGGCTTAATACATTCTTGCAATAGTCCCATTAATGCTTTGATTTCAATTATATTAGTTGCTATTGCATCCCATTCCTGTGAAGAATTTCCACGTACACCATTAATCCTCAAGTTTTAGCATAAAAATTGGACGCAACACAGGTCACCCCACTACTGGATTGTAAGACTCCAAGAACCAGGTGAATATGTAGAGGGAGGGTCCTCCTCATCTGAGTGGTATAAAAACATATCAAATAGACTGCTCGATGGAAATCTCAGATCTGGTGTGACCTTATGAGTGTTAAATATTCCTTGTGGGCGGGGTGGCCGAATGGGCTAACGCGTGTGCACAGCATAACCTGATATATCAATCAAATGATATAAAAATAATCACGAGTTCGTGTCCCGGTGTCCAGGGAGTCTTTTAAATCCCCGCCCACACTCCCTGGCCCGGGAAAGGGGAGGACAAAAATAATAAATATTCCTAAATACTCTTTTTGAACTATAATTAAAATCATGGGGAAGACAGACCCAGCTATTGCCTCTGAATCTGCTTCATCATCAAAACACCTCCCTAAAGCATATTATTAACATGTTGATCTGTGGAGGAACAAATCTGAAGGTGTCTCTGAAAAGTGTTATAGTGTTGAAAAGAAGAAATTGAGATGTTTAGTGAATTGGACCTTTGGAAGTTATATTTTTTTCTTTTCATTCTAGAATAATACCATATCTATTTTTAATTTTACAACTTTTTTTTTTTTTATTAAAACTTATCTTCAGTTGAACTAAAAATTTCAATTTATTTGTTTTCTTACATATTTCTCTTTCACACTGTTGATATTTGTATTTAGAACCATTAGGCAAACAGATAATTGGAACTTCTTAGTTTTAGACGAAATTTCACTTACGATGAATTCTTTTAACACAAACTAAAATATTTTGATCTCCGCAATGAGTTGATGTTACCGAGGAACTACTGTGAATATATTTATTAATGTAAATACAGAATAAATAAATAATAAAATATGAATATCTGGGATCGATTCGCCTCATATCCTTTTCTGAAAGTTCTAACTGTAAATATTTAATTTAGATAAAGATATATCAGCTTTTGTAAAAGCATGACACAAATCTGTATTGAATATATAAATATAGATTTACTGGTTTCTGAAGATGACAAAGAAGAAATAAAGCTCCTATTTCCACAAATTTTCTTTTTCTTAGCTCCTTGTGAAAGATTGTTGAAATATGTTGTGTGACCCCAAATTGTTGATTTTTTACCATATTTTTCCGTATCTATGACAGTCTAAACGTGCTTGTCTCTACTGAATGTTTTATTAGAAAATTGGAGAATGTATTTTGATATTAGGGCTTATAAGTTGATTTGGTTTTTGTCATTTTAAGTTCACTAGAACATGTCTTGACATGGAATCTTCTATTTAAATTCTGATTAGTAAAAATCAATTTTGAAAATAACATTTAAAATAATGTTAAATAAATAACAATAATTATTAAATTACAGTAAAGTAATTAGAATTTCTAGCTCAGGCAAGTGGGTTTTCCTACCTGAAAATGCTCCAACTTGTTAAGTTACGTTCAATATAAAAAAAATATTTTGTAATCACTTTTTCTCTACATCAATATTCTTCCTTGTGGTTCCTTGTGGATTAAATATGAACAATGATGTATAATTTCTCTTTAAAATATGTAATATTCTACAAATATGTTCAAACATCTGAAATGAAAAATGCTGTTTTTATTTTTAAAGTATTTGTAATCCAAAATGATAAAGAAGGATATAAAAGACTTATAAATAATGCACAAATATATATAAATTCTATTTCTTCCAAAAACAGTATGATAACATGTGATATAAAATATGAATACCTACAACTAGATTAAGATTTACCTCTCTGATATGAACAGTACACTAGAAAAATTTGAACCCTATTTATGTGTGAGGGATGGGGAAGCTAGGAACCTGTTGTTTCAACTACCCATTCTTGGAAAACCCTACCCATAGGCACTCAAAAAAACTAGCCACTTCATCTCTAAGTTTAGTTGTTCATGGGGAGGGTTGAGGGGGTGGCTGAGCAAGCTTCTAGAAAGGGGAGGCTTTAAATTCTGTCATTAATCTCCTGTCCTCAATCCTTGGTCTAGGAAAATTCTGTAAAATGACAGGAAGTGGAGGAAAACAAAAAAGAGAAACAAAAAGTTTAATTGTACTATGCCAAAGGTTAAAATGCTATTAAATCGCATAATTAATAAAACCTAAGTTGTATTTTTGTGCTGTAAATATGTGTTGATTTCTGCTATGAAATGGCTTTTGATATTTTATATTTTTTTGTATAATTTTATGAATAAAATTATAATGGTAACTAATGATTTGTTTAGAAAAAGGAGAAGTAGAATAATTATTAATTGAGTGTGTTTGCAAACAAATAGATTTAATGTTTATTTTTTAGATGTAGAAACCAAAAATGAAAGTTCATACTTTTTTAGTTTTCATAAATCATTAGGGAAAGTGTGGAAGATTTTGATAGTTAATCCAGTAGTTATACTTTGACATTTCCTCCAATTTACAAAGTTCCTTACTATATTCTTTTAACTAAAAATTAATTCTGAAAAGTAATATTTAAAGATTAATTGTTACAAAAGCAATTGTACAATACAGTCATACATTGAGTACCAGTTGGACTGTTAGTATTGTTATAGCATTAGGGCATTGTTACTATTTTTTTAATCGTTCATACATATTTCTCTCCTTTAAGCCATCTTTTTGTTTTAAATTCCTATTTATCTTTAGTTATGTACATTTATTCATTGAAGTTCCTAGCTTAATTACCATAGCTTATTTGGTTTCAGATGTCTCATCCAGTTCCATGTTACGATGTTATTCTTGTAGTGAAGAATTTGAAAATGCCTCTTCTCTTGAAATTCACATTAAAGAGATCCACATAAATGAATTGGCAATGTGTTATGGTAAAATATTTACCAAAACTGACATACTCCCAGAGGAAGGTTGGGGCTATGTGGAAGATCCTCTCCCAAAGAAGAGGAAGAGTGTAAAAAGGGTGTTACAGTGTGACAAGTGTGATTATAAGACAGACAGAACTGGTTCCATGAAATCTCATATGGTAACTCATTCAACAGAAAAACCTTTCCATTGTACATTATGTGATTATAAAGCATCGAGACCAGCTGTTTTAAAGAAACATATTATGATACACCACACTAAGGAAAAACCTTATCAGTGTGTAGTATGTGAATATAAAACTGCTTATCCTAGTTGCTTAAAAAGTCATATGATGACTTATCATACTAATGAAAAACCATTTAAATGTACTATTTGTGAGTATAGATCAGTTGATTCTGGGGGTCTTAAAAGACACATAAAAGGTCGTCATTCTAATGAGAAAGCTTTTCAGTGTTCATTGTGTGATTATAGTACAGGATACTCAAAATGTTTAAAAATACACATTATGGCTCATCACACCAATGAAAAACCTCACCAATGTACTATTTGTGATTACAAGTCTACTTATTCGCAAGATTTAAAGAGACATATGATTATAACTCATAACACTGAAAAACCTCATCATTGTACTTGGTGTGACTATAAAACTCCTATTTTAAGTTACTTAAAAACACACATAAGGATCAATCACACAAATGACAAACCTTATAGTTGTACTTTGTGTGATTATAAAACCGGAAGTAGTAACAATTTGAGGAACCATACTATTACACATCATTCGAATAAAAAGCCTTACCAATGTTCTCAATGTGATTACAAAACTTCTCAGTGCAGTAACCTAAAAGTACATATTAGAACTCAGCATACTAAAGAGAAACCTCACCAATGTTCACAATGTGAATTTAAAACTGCTTATTCACAGTTTTTAAAAATTCATGTTATGGCTGTACATTCAAAAGAAAAACCATACCATTGTGCTTCATGTGATTATAAAACTGCTATACCTTCACATTTGAAACGGCATGTAAATAGAATACATCCAGATTAGAAATTCTCATTGATTTATTTATTATGTATCATAGTTAAATCTATCAAATGTTATTAATGTTATTTAAAGTTTATAACACAAGGACTGAATAATTAAAATTTTGTATTCATTTGTAAGATAAACATATTATTTATTAAAATTGTTTATTTATTATAGTTGTTATTTCACATAATCTTTGAATTAACAGGTTTTAATCAAGAAAAACTCCTCTTTTTTTTTATTAAAAAAAAATTGGATGTTCTCAATTCAATACCTGATGTATACATATACTTGAGGGTAATGCAGTCTATATTTTAAAAATTTCTGACTTAAGTCATGTAATTCAGTGTGAGTCGGGTGGAACAGGGCAAACTCCAGTAGTGGGTTGCAGACAGGAACATAATTTAAAAAAATCATATGTTTTTATCCGATTTTCATTAATAAATTATATATCAACATCTAAATACAATTAAACAAAATTTCACAAATAAACACATTTTTATTAAGCCTTTTTAAAAGTTCTTCTGGGTATTAAAGAATGTTTGTACGATGTCTTTCTTATAGCAGTAAAGCTTGCAAAAACTGTTGCTTCTTTGGAAGGAGGTGATACCCAGAGAAATGTGATAGCAAGGCTACGAACCTCACAGTAAGTTACGCATAAAGACGTTACCAGGATAGTGGTTCCTTTGAATATATGATGGAGGATGTCAAAGATCTACAACATTGCAAGACTGATATTTGACTCTCTAGGCTTGAAGAAATTTCTTCAACACTTATAGAAAGCTGATGATTTGTTTTCTACTTCTAATGTACAAATTAGCCTTCACACAGTTAGAAGAAGAATGATAGAGCATGGATTGCATCGGCAAAGACCTTTGCACTTTTCAGGACTCACTCCACAACATAAAGTAGAAAGACTTCAATTCCCTTGGAATCACATATCATGGACCGATTGTGCCCAGGATAATTGCTTTTTCACAGATTAGTCTAAGTTTGTACTTCACCACGATTCAACCCAAGCAAGAGTTATCAGAAGGTCTGGTGAGTGACATAATCCTTTCATGATCTTGCCTGTTTACCTGTTTGGAGGAGGCTCTGTGTGGTAGTGTGGAGTAGTATATCCTCGGGCTATCAAACAGAGCTTCTGGTGTTACGAAATGAGACTATGACTGCTCAGCATTACTTGGACAGTCTCTTAGCACCAATAGTGCAACCTAAGGCTGAAGCAATTTGCTCAGAATTCTTTTTTGTGGATGACAACAGTAGACTCATAGAGCTAGTAAATGGATTCTTTCAAAATCAAGAATTTTGCCACCTACTTGTTCTCTAGACCTAAATCTCATTGAACATTTACGGGATCAACTTCAAAGACAGATTTCAGGATGAAATAGCCTTTCACAAACTGGATTAACTGTACTCAGTACTCTTAGAGAAATAGGAGACGATCCCTCAAGATACCATCAAAATGCTAATAAGATAAATATGCCTTGTCTTCAGCAAGTAATTAGTGCTTGAGGTAGACCAGCAAGGTACTAAATCAAAAAAGTTAATAAAGTTTTTCAAAATTTTAAATTTACCATTTTAATTTTTAAATCCCCAAAAATTAATATAAACAGTTTTCTTTTTATAAATTTTCTTGGTTTATTACTTCAAAACATGTAAAAGTAAATTACCTTTTTAAAATTAAAATTATTAAATGAGAAGTGTTTTTTTCATCTTATTCAGATTTGTACGCTTCATTTGCAATGAATATGAAATATCATTTTGGTTATCGAAGTCTTATTTTAATAAATCTTCAAAAATACCGTCATTGACTCCAAAGCATTTCTAGCTTTGTCTTCTAAGGGTGGTAATTGCTCTTCCGATTGTTGTATCTTGCTTTAATGACCCCTGCAGCATTTTTAATGCTTTGAATTAGTACCTCCCAAGTCTCTAATCTTACTTTGTTTACTTTATCTTTAAACAAGACCTATAAACAATAATTCATTACTGCGAGGTTTGGTGATCTTCGAAGCCAACTAATTGGACTACGCCAGCCAATACAACGATCTGAAAACCTTTCATCCTAATGTTATCTCACCTGACAAGTAAAATGAGCGGGAGCTCTGTCATGCTGAAAGATCAAGAATAATTTCTACTTCTTCTAAGCCTACAGGTGGGGCGAGTAGCTCATTCAGATGTTGAAGCACTGGGAAGTGTTCCACTCTCACATAGTTTGTTGAAAACTGAATAATACGTTTTTATCTGGATGTGTGTGATGAAAATATCGTTGATATACCTCAGCAGAAGCTGTCACACTCCTATTGGAAAAATCATTTATTGTTTATCTTTAACTACCCAATAAAATTAAAATAAATAAAAATTTATGGGTTTTATATATATATATATATATATATATATATATATATATATATATATATATATATATATATATATATATATATATATAATTTTCCTGTGTGCAACCCACTCCTGGTGTTTGGTCCGTTCATTCTAACCCACCTATTAGCATGGCTAAACTGTTAGAATAAAGACTGAACTTAGTCACGTCAGTAGTTATCAATAGTTCACATCTACCAGATATTGAGTTTATGACATAGTTCACTATTTTTTTCGGTTGTTTAGCACTTATAAATTTTATTTGATCACTTATGTCAGGATTGTTGAACATTTTTCTTACATCACCTTTGATTTCAACCTTAACTCACTTCCCTCCAACTTTTATATGTAAATTCATCCCTATTCTAGAATTTAAAAAAAAAATTTTTTTTTGTTCTATAAATTGCTTATTTTGTTTAGTCTGCTTTCAAATCCGCCTGTGTATCAAACCTTGCATTTTTCTTTGGCCACATTCCATAAAAAAATGAGAGGTTGGAAACTATAGTTCACACTGTTTATTTTCTTCCTCTCATTTACTTCTCGGTTCTATATGGATCCAACATTTTGTAAACTTTTACATTCTTATTCATATTTCTGAGTTGATCATAATAAAGGAGATTGGTCGAAACATTTTTTTTTTTACTAGTTTAAATCTCCATTCTGAACAGAAAATAATGAAATTTAGTTTACTTTTGAGATTATGAACATTTAATGTTTATTTCTGCTGAAATATTTAAGTTGATATAATCTAATTTTTAGATTATTTAGATCGTATAATTTTTCAAGTTGCCACTTATTTAATCAGTAAATTAAAAATTTCCTATCACTTATATATTACTTTGAGATCTAATTAGGCATAAAGCAAAGAATATTTCTTAATTGTGTTTAGTAATATCAGACAATTTATAACATTATACCAAAAACCTTTTGCTATAAGAAATGGCCAAGTAAATAAAATAAAATATATAAATGAACCTTTGATTAATTATCTTCATTTTTTTAGCAACTAGAACAAGCTAATATTAATTGGTTCTCTTTTTTATTGTTTTTAAGATATGAAACCATAATGATTAATTACGCACTAAATTATGGGAATCAGTTAAAGATAACATATTAACATTAATTTACAACTGATTAGTACAGTAATTAGATTCTTAAATAGCGAAATATGATTTAATGTAACAGATTTAAAATATTCCAACAGCTTTATTCGGATTGAAATTTTAAATTTTATCTTCTAAAGCCAAAACAAGGTCTTAAATTTCGAAATTGAATGGGAAGTTCAGGCGTTTTAGTATGCTAAACAGTCACAGCGAATCTTTCTTCTAAAATACAGAAAATTATGTATCCTTTGTTGAACTACCAGAAATTTAGAATTAATACATTTATAATTCAAAATTTTAATTATTTATGTAAAAACGATCTGAAAGTTATTAAATGAAAAAATATTTTACTCAATCAATCATTTTTTACTTTCACTCACCTATGCATGGAATATGGGCTGGGGTAGCCATGCGGACTAAGGCGCTTGCAATAGGTAAACAAATTAAGCAACGTTCGAGCGTGGTTAGCACTTGGATGGATGACCGTCCACCTGGGAAAGCCACGCTGCCCGAGGCCCCCCTACACGGTGGGCCAGACCCCCTTACCGTGCACCCCCCCCACATCCCTATAAATTGCATATCGTTGTGTTCCTTGTGACAATTTATTAAAAAAAAGCCAATGTTCCCACAAAAAAAAGTGAACGAACTGCCCCAAAATGGCGTCCAAACAGCGCGGATTGACGACTTTGACTTTACTTAGTTTTTTTGTTACTGAGAATCAGCATTTGGCTTAATTTCATTATAGTTGGTCTTTTATTAAAGCTGGATAGTCATAGAATAATAAACCATGAAAAAATATTAAAAACTAATTGGCTTAGGCATTAAAAAAAATCGGTAAAGTCAATTTTTTTTACAAAAAAATTTTCAAGTTGAAAATCAAGCGTCGTTTGTAATCAAACGGTCAACAATAATGCAAAACGTGCTGAAATAAAACATCTGGAGAATATATTTCTCTTTCTAAAACACTGATTACTTTTTAAAATATTTGAAGTAGTTCCGTAGAAAATGTACATAAGCGGCAGAAAAGCGCTACTGGCGTAGGTGCCTCAGGCCTCTACCACACCACTCAGTACTCATAAATGACTTAGTTATAGTGCTATAATAACGTTTTTGTTATATTATATTGATTGTATTAACGAACAAATATTAATAAAATAATTTATTTGTCAAAAAAAAATATTTTTAAAATTTATTATTATTTTTAAAATTTATTATTATTTATTTTTTTAAATTTAACTTCCTTTATTCTATACGGAGGTCGCTTAAGAAGGCCTCTATTATAAAAATTATATAATTATAATAATACAACTTAATTCAAAAATACTTTGCAGAATATCTTGAATTTTTTATTTAATATTTGCAATTTAACATTTTGTTTTATATATTTCCTGATTCTTAGAGGTAATTTAAATTGTATATACTTCCCCGGAAATGAGTCATATTAATATCTGTTTTATAAACTAAAATAATATATACCTAATCTGAACTACTTTTAATGAATAGGTGATGGATTGTTTAGTAAAATTCAGATATCGCTATAAAAAAAAACATTTTTATTTCCT